ATGAGAATTTCATACATTCACCTTTGAAAAAATATTTTATTTTATTTATTTATTTTAGAAAAAATTATTTTACTTAAAGATAAAATATTTTAAAATGTACTTGCTATAATTTATCGCTGTGTAAGATAATTTATTTAATTTATAAATTTGTGAGGGTTTTGAAAGTTTCATACAATTGATGATGTTAAAACTATGTACATACAATAATTTATAGCTGTGCAAGATAAATTAATTAATTTATAAAATTTGTAAGGACTTTAAAAGTCTCAAGCAATCAAAATAATATAAGTTTTATAGATGTACATATTGATAATTTATTCACATATATGCCAAATTAATTAATTTAAAAATTTATGAGGACTCTGAAAGTCTCTCACAACAAACAAATTAGATAACATTATATAATGCAAAATCGATAAATGTAGATTTGAGATCTAAGTTTTGAAATTACTTTTTTCAAAAAATTTTATAATGATTCTCGCATGATATATACTTCCTAATTCAATTATGATGCTAAGCTTTCCCATATATTACAATCAAATGCTATTATAAAAGTAAAAGAAGTTCTCACCAGACATCATAAGAAGCTTAAAAAGTGGTATGCGTTGGTAGACGTGGGCATAAACAATGGACTCAAAACCAAAGAGTTAAGATTCAAAGCTTGTGAGATCGTGCATATGGAGAAAGCAAGAAGACATATAGAGAATCCAAACTCAAATCTTAGATTAAAAGACAAGAGGCCAAATCAAATAATAATTATGTGAATGATCAAGTTTCATTTAAAAAAATAAATTAAGGACAATAGAGGGTGGAAGAATAAGATATGCAAGCATTTATAAAGTTTAAGATAGATGAGCTTACCTCTAGTTTTCTTTATCAATTAGATTTCTTGTTCCACTATTTTCTATTGTGTTATTTTTCTCTCATAATTTTTTCTTGAGTCTCTCTCTACATGTCCTTTGCTCTTCCTTTGTTTTCCTTTATATAAACCCATACATCTAGGGTTTCTCTAATATCTCCATCCTATCCTCATCAATATTAGTATTTTATATATTCTTATATTATTATTGTTATCATTATTTAAAGATTGCATATTAATTGTTATCTTTTCTATTATTATATCTTGATTATTATATTATTTTAAAATTTTCAAATCTTAATATTATATAGTAGATTATCTTGAAATATTCAAATTAGATTATATTATCTTGAAATCTTTAGATCATATTATATTATATTCTGATTATTTTAATTATTATATTGTGATCTAGTTTGAATATATTTTTTTATTATCTTTGTACCCACCTATATATATATTTTCTTGTTGTAACATATTATTTTTTCTTTTTTATTTATTTTACTATGGATGTTATCTTATTTACTTATTAGGACTCGAACAAAATACAGTGTTCATAATAGTCAAACAAATAATTTGTAAAAAATTCCAGAAAAGGATCCTGATACTTGAATTCAATTTCCAGATTTTATGAACACCAATGGTTATTACTAATTTTCACAAGAATTTATTTATAATTTTCCTAAATAATTTAGTGTGAAATTTGAAATCTAATATACTGTTACTTGCACGTGAGATCTCCCTTGAGGACAAGTTAACACCGTTCCTTTCTTGCTAGATGCCTAATTTGGGACAGCATTTTTCTTCTTGAGTGCATATTCTTTTGTTTGCTTTTCCCATGCACCAAGAAACTTGTATGGCCGATGTATGTCACCAACAGCTCACATGCTACCCCATCCTCATACACGTAGGAGATGCTATCTTTTTACGAGCCTCCAAATGAATGGACGTACTACACTTCTTCCACTTAAAAATTTGGATAGAAACAAGACCCACGTGGACTTTCTCTTCTACACATAATAAGATAAACGAACCGCGTTGCTTATGATTCGTAAGTAATATGGATTAGCAGATTTATTTGTTTTAGCAGATTTATTTTGGATCACTTCCTGTTATTTTTTCAGTAAGATGTTCGAAGAACTGATATAAAAACTGGTCCAAGTCATGCATGACATGAGGATAGGGACAATGTTTTTGAGAATTATTCAACCGCACAAGCCCATGATTAAATGAACTTTGTCTATAATAAACAATGTGACAAATTAAAACAGTGGAAATATTCAGAGAAGACAGCAGATCTCGAGTGATGGATGAGAGGAATGTTCGAAAACTCAAGAGCAGCGTGTCCTAAAACAAATAGTGGGCACAATCTTATATAAACAAAAAAAAAAAAGAAAATTCTATGGATGGTTTAAAGGAACTTAAAGACAGCTTAATCACCATTAAAGACAACCTAATGACCATTAAAGAAAATTGTTTCTGATTAATATTGAAATTAATGGGCAACTTGATTAAAGTACCAACTGCTAACACCACGTATAACTCGTGCAAGGAAAATCGTTGGGTTTCAACCATGTTGACCTCTTATTGTGTGAGCGAGCCTACTCTTTTTTCTCATCTTAGCAGGCGTTTATGGATTAAAAGTTGCAAAATTAGAATTAGAATAAACTGGAGTTTGCAAACTGTAGTTAGGGAGTGTCAATGTTTAATATGATTCTAGTTTGCATATATATATCACCATCAATATCAACACACACACGCAAATCTTGTAGCTTCAATCTGATTGCTTAAAAAAATTGACTCTCATTGATTAATAAATTCTAGGCTAACATTAATATAAAAATTTCTCTTGATTTATTAATGAGATTTAATTTATTCTTCTATTTTTCATGTATTTTCAGTTTTTTTATGGGAGCATTTAATGGTATTTAATTTATTTTTTTATTTTTATGTATTTTTAATATATTTTCATGGAAGCATTTAATGAGATTTAATTTATTTTCTTATTTTTATGTATTTTTAATTTACTTTTATGGGAGCATTGATTCAAAAGCAATTCTATTTTCAAATTTTCTTGAAGCAATAACTCCATTTGACTATCATTCTCCATTTGCTGTACGTTCCCATGCCTTTTCAATTTTCTTGATCAATGAGTTTTAATTTATTTTTCTATTTTTCATATATTTTTAGTTTACTTTCATAGGAGCATTGATTTAAGATCAATTCCATTTTCAAATTTTCTTAATCGTTAGCATTAATTTCATTCGATTATCCTTATGTATTCGCTATACTTTCTCATGCCTTTTCAATTTTCTTGACAATGAGATTTAATTTCTTTTCTTATTTTTCTTGTATTGTTTGATTCGCTGTACTCAATATCAATTAACTTTCATTAACTATCATCTATGAACATTATCTATAAAAAGGAAAGAAAAAAGAAGTTTAAGTTTAATTTGAATTATCAATCCTTATCTCGCGATCTTGGCCCTTTAAACTGTGGATGTTTCACCATACATTTTGCGCTAACAAGATAATGTGATCACTTTTTAAGTATTCTAAATAGGCAAAACTTGAGTGATAAATGTATCTTTTTGGTAGCTCTTTTGTTTTGCACATAAAAAAAAGAGAAACCAAAAAATACAAAAAATGGAATACAATTACAAAAAAAAAGAGGAATCCTTTTGGATTCTTTATTATATCTATATTTATGGAAATACAATTTATATCATAATTCATAAACTGGTGATTAATTTTTTTATGTAATTGAAAATGAGGAATTATTGAAAATTCTAAAGAAGTATTTTTGTTTGGGGCCAATATTCTCTAAGCATTTTAAGAACAAGTATTTTCTAGATAGATTTTTCACTGTAGGCTTGAAAATAAAGATAAGATGTGTACAAATAAAATATTCAAGAAAGAAAATGATTGAATAGAAGAACTTTTAAAAATTTCGCTATTTCAAATACATTATATCAATGATATCTAAAAAGGACATAAATTTTTATTATATTTTTTTGTTTTTAAATTGATCATTAAAAAAACTTTAAACTACAATTTTAAAAATAAAAATTTCACATACAATCAAGTATTATTTGTAAATTCTAAAAATCTAAAATAAATTGATAAATTTTAAAGGAAAAATTTATTTAGGTCCCACATAAAAAATTTATTATCATGAGGTCCTATAAAATTTATAAAATACTCTCAAATATAAATCTTGCACATTTATAGTTTGATTAAGAGAATTAATAGTTATGCAATAATTATTTACAACTTGTATTACATTGTAAATACGCAGGATTTAGAATTTGAAAATATTTTATGAATTTTGTAGAACCTTTTAATAACAAATTTCTTTATGTGGTACCAGATGTAATTTTTCTAATTTTAAAATATTAAAAACTCAAAAACTAAAAAACTAAAATAAATTGATAAATTATAAGATATTAAAAACTAAAATAAATTGATAAATTATAAAATATTAAATTCTAAAAAGTTAAAAAAAGTTTGATAACCTAGGCTTTCGCTCAAAGCGCTTTTGAGAAGTCAGAATTTCTGACTTCAATCTTAACCTAGGTTTTGGTCCATAAACTCAAAAACTTTGTTACCCAAACATAAGATTGCACTATCAAAAGAGCTTCTCCCATTATAACTGGGGTTTGAGACAAGCTAATTTTAGGTTTGATGGTAAACCAAATACTCGTGATCATGTAGGCAGGACGAATAGAATACTGCAAATCAAAGTAAAATATTGAGATGAAATCCATATACCACTAATCACTAATGTTTTTAATTTTTAATTTTTAATTTTTAATTTTTATATATATATATTAATACTGATATATTGATATTTTGGTGGACGTACTGACACCTATTAATCAAATCTTCTAATAATTCAATTAAATTGAATTGAATTTTTTTTTGCTAAATAATTGAATTGAAATTAAAAATATAAACTGGCATGAGTTCTTCTGGACCGGACATCAGTTTGAAAAAGATGAACAGAGCATTTCGGGCCGCCAATTGTTTATGGACCAACCCAATCTTTAAGTCGGCCTCAGAAAGTCGGCACGTGCTACCGCCACTACCACCACTCATCGGCCATCGATCTTCAAAGGCTCTTCGATCCACTGTCGAGTAACTCATTTGGCTCTCTTCTCACCGAGGGGGAAGTTTATGTCTTAAACCCTAGAACTAGAAGCTCCAAGAGGAGCCCTCAGAGGCTCTTTGTTTGATCCACCAAAGGAGCTGTGGAAGTATAAGCAATCTTTGTCCAGCGATTTCTCCACCTTTAGTCTATCCGAGTTGATAGTTTTGCAAGCTTTCAAGATGTGGAACAACGGTCAGATTGCACCACCAGGAACTACTGGCTCTTCCATTCCACCGCCTCCTGCAGCCCAACCGTCGTACACGGTGCTGCCTCCTCCCCCGCCTCCAGTCCCGGCTGAGACCGAGGCTGATGCTGAGGCGAGGCTCGAGGAGAAAGCCAGAAAATGGCAGCAACTGAATTCGAAGCGGTACAGTGATAAGAGAAAATTTGGGTTTGTTGAGACGCAGAAGGAGGATATGCCTCCGGAACATGTTAGGAAAATTATCAGGCAAGTGTTTCTGTACTATTTTATTCGGCGTCGTAAATAAGGTTTCTTACTGATTATGGTATCGCGGGACCTCTGTCTTCAGAATTCAAATTTTTAGTTACTACTATGTCTCTCCACGTTTGGTCAATTGTTTCTGTTCTGGGCTTTCTGCGCTAAGAGCCTTGGCAAATGATACAACCCGCGAGTGTTGTCTTCCTTCCTTTTCTCTTAGTAATTTTATTTGAAAATTGTTCGCAAGTTACAGTGGCGGTGCCGCTGTAGGATTTCTTTGAAATTCGTTTCGCTGCTACAAGTCATGGGTTAGGATCATGGCTTTAACGTTGTGGCGAAGAAAGCAGTTAGATACCAAACTTTCTAGGATGCTAAGCAGCCGGTTTGTCATTATGTGCGGATTATTATTTGTATTAATGAGTCATGTGAGGAAGAAACAGCACCATGCAGCTCCTGCCCTGAAAAGGAATTTTCTTCTTTTTTCTTGAACATGAATATAGATTTCTCGTAATAGAGTAGAAAGTTGTATGCAGAATCAACCGACTCTATTGATCTGCTCACGAGTCGGTTGATTCTGCAGAAGGACATTTATAGCAGTAAATAAGAAATATCATAATTCTTGCTTTTGAGTCTATTGATGTTTTTGGTCTATTCAGCTTAGCCTTCCTGTTGTCGCAATACAAAATAAAATATCTATAATATCGATGGTGCTATCATTGTTGTCTCTTGATCCACTTTGTAATTTCCTTTCCCTTTCTTTATTATAGGGATCATGGGGATATGTCCTCAAAAAAATACCGTCATGACAAACGTGTATATCTTGGAGCACTGAAATTTATTCCACATGCAGTTTACAAGCTCCTGGAGAATATGCCCATGCCATGGGAGCAGGTATTTACCATTTCTCATTTGTCCGTGATAGTCTTCTTTCACACTTATTTGCGTGTCTTTCTTTGGAGACCCATTACTAATACCAGCTCTGTATTGTGTTTTATTAATTAGGTCCGAGATGTGAAGGTCTTGTACCATATATCTGGGGCAATTACTTTTGTTAATGAAATACCATGGGTTGTCGAACCAATATATCTGGCACAAGTATGTTGTTTTCCCTCACTTATTACGTTTCCTTGCATTTTGTTCTCCTGCATAATTCCGACGGTTAAATGTTTTACAGTGGGGTACTATGTGGATCATGATGAGAAGGGAGAAGAGGGATCGACGCCATTTCAAGAGGATGCGGTTTCCCCCATTTGATGATGAGGAGCCTCCTTTAGATTATGCTGATAATTTGTTAGATGTTGATCCTCTGGAGCCGATTCAGCTGGAATTGGATGAAGAGGAAGATTCTGCTGTATATACTTGGTTTTATGACCATAAACCTCTTGTGAAAACAAAGCTCATAAATGGCCCTAGCTACCGGAAATGGCATCTTTCCCTTCCAATAATGGCAACTCTGCATCGGCTTGCAGGACAGCTTTTGTCTGATCTAATTGACCGGAATTATTTCTATTTGTTTGACATGGAGTCATTCTTTACAGCAAAGGCATTGAACATGTGCATACCTGGTATGTGGTTTTTATTGTTATATACAGTTAGAAATGTCAATAATTCTGTTAAAATTTGATTATTTTGATATTGATGTGGATAATTTTTTTTTTATCTGATTACCAAGGTTAAGAACTCAACAAACTTATAAGTTAGTAATTTGAAAGCTAGGAAGCTATGCACATTCTAATGAATTTTGTATTACAGAAAAGCTGTCTTTGTTTATAAAAGAAATCTATCTTGGTTCTCTATAATGCAAAAAAATTAAGAGAGGCAAAGCATATCTGTTTTTTGTATAAGGTCAAAGTCAGGCGTCAAGATTTTTTTTTTTGGGTATATCCTGCAGGTGGTCCTAAGTTTGAGCCCCTTTACCGTGACATGGAGAAAGGAGATGAGGATTGGAATGAGTTTAATGACATCAATAAACTCATTATAAGGTCACCTCTAAGGACAGAGTACAGAATTGCATTTCCTCATCTCTATAACAACAGGCCTCGCAAAGTGAAGCTTTGTATTTACCACACTCCAATGGTCATGTATATAAAAACTGAAGATCCTGATCTACCGGCATTTTATTATGATCCATTGATACACCCAATAACTAGTGCCAACAAGGAGCGCCGTGAGAAGAGAACTCATGAGGAGGAGGATGAGGAGTGGGAATTGCCAGAAGGTGTGGAACCTTTGCTTAAAGATACACAGCTTTACACAGATACCACGGCAGCTGGTATCTCCCTACTATTTGCTCCTCGTCCTTTTAACATGAGATCTGGTCGTGCACGACGTGCAGAAGATATTCCCCTTGTGTCAGAATGGTATAAGGAGCATTGGTAAGTGGTGACCTCCCTTCCTTAAATGCTTCATGACTAGTCTCATTTTGGCTCAAGCATATCTACCTCATACTTTTACCCTAATATGAAAATTAACCTTTTTTCTTTATGTTTTCAACAGTCCTCCTTCATATCCAGTTAAAGTTCGAGTTAGTTATCAAAAGTTGCTGAAATGCTTTGTGTTGAATGAGCTGCATCATAGACCTCCTAAGGCTCAGAAAAAGAAGCACCTATTTAGATCTCTTCAAGCAACCAAGTTTTTCCAAACCACTGAACTTGATTGGGTTGAAGCAGGTCTTCAAGTTTGCAGGCAGGGTTATAATATGTTGAATCTCTTGATACACAGAAAAAATTTGAATTATCTTCACCTTGATTACAATTTCAATCTGAAGCCCGTCAAAACCCTTACTACAAAAGAAAGGAAAAAATCACGATTTGGTAATGCTTTTCATCTTTGCCGTGAAATCCTCCGGTTGACTAAGCTTGTAGTGGATGCCAATGTCCAGTTCCGTCTGGGTAATGTGGATGCATTCCAACTGGCTGATGGTTTGCAATATACTTTTTCTCATGTTGGTCAGTTGACTGGTATGTATCGGTACAAGTACAGGCTTATGCGGCAAATTAGAATGTGCAAAGACTTGAAGCACTTGATTTACTATCGGTTTAACACTGGACCTGTTGGGAAAGGTCCTGGCTGTGGATTTTGGGCACCAATGTGGAGAGTATGGTTGTTCTTTCTTCGTGGTATTGTTCCACTTCTTGAACGATGGTTAGGCAATTTACTTGCACGGCAGTTTGAGGGACGGCATTCGAAAGGTGTGGCAAAGACTGTTACTAAGCAGCGTGTTGAGAGCCATTTTGACTTGGAGCTTCGAGCAGCAGTTATGCATGATGTGCTTGATGCCATGCCTGGTATTTGTTTAGTACTGTTTTCTATTTTAGAATTTTGGATTTCCTTCCACTAAGTGGCTTTTGCAATTCAAGTTTTGCTAAGTAACAGTGCTTCTCCCTCTTTGAATGGCAGAGGGCATTAAGCAGAATAAGGCCAGGACTATATTGCAGCATCTGAGTGAGGCTTGGCGCTGCTGGAAAGCAAATATTCCTTGGAAGGTAAAGGACCACTTAATTTTTGTTTTTATGGCTAGCATGAATTTGTTAGTGAACGAGCAAAAGTAGAATTCTCATACTGGATATGGAGAAAACTGCTAAGAGATGAATAATGTAATTTCTTGGCATATGAATAGTAAGGCGCATGTACAATTGCCAATGAAAATTATTTTGCAATATTAATTATGGAAGATGTTTTGCTAGTGCTGCCAGAGAGAAGCTACTCCCCGCTCTTTATGTTCACAATTCCGTTGTTGATTTTCATACTCTGTTGTTATGTAGGTTCCTGGTTTGCCAGTTCCCATAGAAAACATGATCCTCCGTTATGTGAAGTCTAAAGCAGACTGGTGGACCAATGTTGCTCATTATAATCGTGAACGTATCAGAAGAGGGGCAACTGTTGATAAGACTGTGTGTCGTAAAAATCTTGGAAGATTGACACGACTATGGCTGAAGGCTGAGCAGGTGTGTTTAGCCTCCTTCACGAGTCATTAAAATGTATCATGGGTCTTTTTTATTATTCAAACTTGAATCTTAGTTGTTTAGAATATATATTTAATGGTCCGATGTTTTCCCTTGAAAGTTTAATTGCCATAGTACTATATTTTATTTATTCCTTGATCATTTATCTTTGTCACAGGAGCGGCAACACAATTATTTGAAAGATGGTCCATACGTCACTCCTGAAGAAGCTGTTGCTATCTACACAACCACAGTTCATTGGTTGGAATCAAGGAAGTTCTCCCCCATTCCGTTCCCTCCTTTGTCTTACAAGCATGATACCAAACTGCTAATTCTTGCTCTTGAGAGGTTGAAAGAATCCTACAGTGTTGCAGTGAGGTTGAATCAACTGCAGAGAGAAGAGTTGGGGCTGATTGAACAAGCTTATGACAATCCACATGAGGCCCTCTCAAGAATCAAGCGACATCTCTCACCCAACGTGCTTTCAAAGAAGTATGCTGATATTTAATTGCAAGTTTATTAGCTTAAGGATATGGATATCTAGCTCAAGTTTTTTTTTTTTTTATGCAAATCTAGCTCAATTCAAGTTAGTTATGATTTTTTTCTCCTTTGTCAGGTTGGGATAGAGTTTATGGATTTGTATAGCTACTTGATTCCGGTTTATGAGATAGAGCCTCTAGAGAAGATTACAGATGCTTATCTTGATCAGTATTTATGGTATGAAGGTGATAAGCGCCATCTCTTTCCTAACTGGATCAAGCCAGCAGATTCAGAGCCACCCCCACTTCTGGTTTATAAATGGTGTCAGGGTATAAACAATCTGCAAGGTATATGGGATACCAGTGAGGGCCAGTGTGTTGTGATGCTGCAGACTAAATTTGAGAAGTTCTTTGACAAAATTGATTTAACAATGCTCAACAGGTATGCATTCTGCAAATCACCTAAATGTAATCAGTAATCAGTGCTGTCCTTCTAAATTAACTTCCCTATGTTGCAGGCTTCTCCGTCTGGTTCTTGACCATAACATTGCTGATTATGTCACTGCAAAAAACAATGTTGTTTTATCATACAAAGATATGAGCCATACAAATTCATATGGTCTTATACGTGGTCTGCAGTTTGCATCTTTTGTTGTCCAATATTATGGACTTGTGCTAGATTTGTTACTTCTCGGACTTACTCGAGCCAGTGAAATTGCTGGCCCACCACAAATGCCTAATGAATTCATCACTTACTGGGACACGAAAGTTGAGACAAGGCATCCAATTAGGCTTTATTCTCGGTACATAGATCGGGTTCATATATTATTTCGCTTTACTCATGAGGAAGCCCGAGACCTCATACAGCGTTACCTCACTGAGCATCCTGATCCTAACAATGAGAATATGGTGGGCTACAACAATAAAAAGTGCTGGCCAAGAGATGCAAGAATGAGGCTCATGAAACATGATGGTGCTTATTTTTCCTTTCTATCTTGAGTGGGTTGTAATTTATGATAAAGCTTAGTTGTAATATGGATGGCTTTTTCTGTTGCGTCCTTTTCAGTCAATCTTGGGAGGAGTGTCTTCTGGGATATGAAGAATCGTCTTCCTCGAAGCATAACAACTTTAGAGTGGGAGAACAGCTTTGTTTCTGTTTACAGCAAAGATAATCCAAACTTGCTTTTCAGCATGTAAGTATTCAATGATTTTAAAATAACATTTTGTTTTTAACTTTTTGTTCTTCACTGAAGTGGTTGCCTTTGTCAAATTCTTCACACATTCCATTGCCAGTTATTGTAAGTTTTAAATTGGCTGTAGATGTCTAACCTGATGGAATAATGATTTAATATTTAGCTTTGCTCCTAAGTTTAAACAATAGAAAGAACATGTAGCTTCACTGGTTCTGAGCAATTTTGCTCAGTATCTAGCTTTCCCCTGATGGAAATATTGGACATCCCTGTTGTTGTCGGTTGTCACAGTTTTTACCTAATTGCCAATGATGACTGCATATTATTTTATGTAACTTTGTGTGAGAACTGGCTGTCCTCACATTTTTTCCCTTGTGCTGGCTCTTTTTATATGATGGATGAACCAAAAGAATCTCTTTGCTTACACCTCTTGATGACTTGTAGGTGTGGGTTTGAAGTTCGGATACTCCCAAAAATTCGAATGACTCAAGAAGCGTTCAGCAATACAAGAGATGGTGTTTGGAATTTACAAAATGAACAGACGAAAGAGAGGACAGCAGTTGCCTTTTTAAGAGTTGATGATGAACACATGAAAGTGTTTGAGAATCGTGTTAGGCAGATTCTCATGTCTTCCGGATCTACTACGTTTACAAAAATTGTCAATAAATGGAACACAGCTTTGATAGGTCAGTGGAGTTGAATTGTTTTTGTTACTCTAGGAGCTCTTTGTAGTTGTTGTCATCAGTTTGTTGACAGAAGCTCTCATCAGGTCTTATGACATACTTCCGGGAGGCAACTGTACACACTCAAGAGCTGTTAGATTTGCTTGTTAAATGTGAAAATAAGATTCAGACTCGTATTAAGATTGGATTGAACTCAAAGATGCCTAGCAGGTAAGTAATCAGATCCTATTATTCATAACTCTTGGTTTAAAGTCTATACTAATCTATTGTCTTCTTGTGTTAAATCTGTACTGATGTATTGCCTTATATCAGATTTCCTCCTGTCATTTTCTACACCCCAAAAGAAATCGGAGGACTTGGCATGTTGTCCATGGGTCACATTTTGATTCCACAAAGTGATCTCCGATACAGTCAGCAGACTGATGTTGGTGTGACACACTTCAGGAGTGGGATGAGTCATGAAGAGGACCAGTTGATTCCCAACCTTTATCGCTACATTCAGGTGAACTCCAAACACCAACCACCCCCACCCCAAAAAGAAAAAAAAAGCCACCAAAATAAATGTCACAATCTATCTACACCACCACCTGCATATATGTATTTTTAACACTATTTTTTGGATTGTTGACATTTGACAGCCTTGGGAGAGTGAATTCATTGACTCACAGCGTGTCTGGGCTGAATATGCATTAAAGAGGCAGGAGGCACAAGCACAAAATAGGCGTTTGACCCTTGAAGATCTGGAAGTGAGTTTTCTGATGATTTGTTACTAGATCTTGTGTGCTGTCGTTTTTGTATTTAAAAGTAGAGGCAATGATATGGGGGATGTCTTTTAATTTTTATCTGTTATGAAACTAATATGCTTCCTGTTTCTCTTGTATGGAATTTTATCTTGACTTTCGGACATGTATCTCCATTTTCTAATTGATAGGATTCATGGGATAGAGGTATACCGCGTATAAACACTTTATTCCAAAAGGATAGACACACCTTGGCTTATGATAAAGGATGGAGGGTGCGTACAGACTTCAAACAGTACCAGGTTCTGAAACAAAACCCTTTCTGGTGGACACACCAGAGGCATGATGGGAAGTTGTGGAACTTGAACAATTACCGTACTGATGTAATTCAAGCCCTTGGAGGTGTTGAAGGAATTCTTGAACATACTCTGTTCAAAGGAACATAGTAAGCATCTATTCCCTCATAGTCTATTGTTGCATTGAGGGGGAATTTCTAACTGCTTAACCACTTTATAAAGCAGATGATATTATTCTGAAGTTTGTCAGATAAAATTTCAAGTAATGTTATACCTGTTGGGAGTAGAAAACAAGTGTACAGTATTTAGCTCTTTCTATTGCCTGCATGTGATGTGACAAACAAACCATTGACTAGGCAAGAATTCTTACTGTCTAAAACTTCTGAACTTACAAATAAACAGGTTTTTCAAGGTATAGATAACTAATGCTCAAACAACCAAATTTAAAATACTAGTTATAAAATGTGATTAATGAATATAATAAAATTTTCGACTGATTCGCCACTTCTTTTCACTTCAGCTTTCCAACCTGGGAAGGTCTGTTTTGGGAAAAGGCATCAGGCTTTGAGGAATCTATGAAGTATAAGAAGTTAACAAATGCCCAGAGATCTGGTCTCAACCAGATACCTAATCGTAGGTTTACTCTTTGGTGGTCACCAACCATAAATCGAGCCAATGTTTATGTGGGGTTCCAAGTGCAGTTAGATCTGACTGGTATTTTCATGCATGGGAAGATACCTACTTTGAAGATATCTCTTATTCAGATATTCAGAGCCCATTTGTGGCAGAAGATCCATGAGAGTGTTGTCATGGATCTGTGTCAGGTTTTGGATCAGGAATTGGATGCTTTGGAGATTGAGACTGTCCAGAAGGAAACAATCCATCCGAGGAAAAGTTACAAAATGAACAGCTCTTGTGCAGACATTCTTCTGTTTGCTGCCCATCGATGGCCAATGTCAAAGCCTAGTCTGGTGGCTGAGTCTAAGGATGTTTTTGATCAGAAGGCAAGCAATAAGTACTGGATTGATGTACAGCTTAGATGGGGGGATTATGACTCTCATGATATTGAGCGTTACACACGGGCAAAATTTATGGATTATACAACGGATAATATGTCTATATATCCATCTCCTACAGGTATTTTTAATCTGTTCTACTTTATTTTCTTTATCATCAATTAGACTGTTAGCCTGATTGTTGCTTTCATGCAGGGGTGATGATTGGCATTGATTTGGCATATAACTTGCACTCCGCATTTGGCAACTGGTTCCCTGGTTCAAAGCCACTGCTTCAGCAGGCCATGAATAAAATCATGAAGGTAGCACAACCATGAAAAAAAAAAGAGGTCATTTTGGTGTACATCATTTTAGTTCTTCAATAAGTCCCTGCTAGGCTAGAACCTAAGATCCCTACCCAAATTTTTACCTGCCAGAGTCTACTGGATTGAACTTGGGTGGCCTTGTTTGTTTGAGTATGCTTTTTGATTGTGCAATCAATTATTTTACTGATTGTCTTGTGCATGTGCAGTCAAATCCTGCGTTGTATGTCTTGAGAGAGCGGATAAGGAAGGGGCTTCAGTTGTATTCTTCTGAGCCTACAGAACCATACTTGTCATCCCAAAACTATGGAGAGATATTCAGCAATCAGATTATATGGTTTGTTGATGACACTAATGTGTATCGTGTTACAATCCATAAGACCTTTGAAGGAAATCTCACAACAAAACCCATCAATGGTGCCATCTTCATTTTTAATCCAAGGACTGGCCAATTGTTTCTGAAGGTTTTTTCCTCGATCCTTTTCTTCCTAATAGGGTTTTTACAGCAATGATTGTCCAGATTGTGACATGTTTTATCCTTTAATGTAGGTTATCCATACAAGTGTCTGGGCTGGTCAGAAGCGTCTTGGTCAGCTGGCCAAGTGGAAAACAGCAGAAGAAGTTGCTGCTCTTGTACGTTCTTTGCCTGTTGAAGAACAGCCCAAGCAAATTATTGTCACTCGTAAAGGAATGTTGGATCCATTAGAGGTTCACCTTCTGGACTTCCCCAACATTGTTATTAAAGGAAGTGAGCTTCAGCTTCCATTCCAAGCATGCTTGAAGATTGAGAAATTTGGCGATCTTATTTTGAAGGCTACAGAACCTCAAATGGTTTTGTTCAACATTTATGATGACTGGTTGAAAAGTATTTCATCTTACACTGCATTCTCCAGGTTGATATTGATTCTCCGTGCCCTTCATGTAAATAATGAGAAGGCAAAGATGTTGCTAAAGCCTGACAAAACAATTGTCACTGAGCCACATCACATCTGGCCTTCTCTCAATGATGACCAGTGGATGAAGGTAATTTTGATTTTACAGTTTAAGCACTTTTTTCCCTGGGTTCCATTGTCAAGAAAATGCTCAGGAAATGGGAGGTTGTATATTTATGTTTTGAAAATAGTTGCTGGTTAGTTGACACTGAAGTTTAGTGAAGGGAAACATGACTGGAATTATTTTGGTTTTAGTGATTTCACGTGTACTAAGTTTCTCTATTTTAAAAGTTAGTTCTTTAATTATTCAAATATCTTATTTATGGCTCATTTAGTAGTCCTAGATCTCATCAGTCAGTTTTGAAGATTTATTATTGAGAAGTATTTTGCTTTAGTTATCTTCAGCTTCTCTCTTCTCCCTTAGATCTCTGTTTTTCTTTAATTTGCTCTCTTGAAAGCACTTAGCATTCCCCTCTACCCCCACCCCTTCCCCCTTGCCCTACACCTATTAGTAACCTAAGACTTTGGGCTGGGTATTTTAATAGCAAGCTCTTAAAGCATAAATTAATGGTCAAGATTAATGCAAAACCCGCTAATGGGAAAATCATCCAATTGAGGAAGTTATTTAATATATAAACTTTTCCTAGGTTAACATTGTATTTCATTCTGCAGCTCTGTTAGTTGTTAATGTAATCAAAACATATTAATTGCATTGACAGGTGGAGGTTGCATTAAGAGATCTCATACTCTCAGATTATGCCAAGAAGAACAATGTCAATACTTCTGCCTTGACTCAGTCTGAGATTCGTGACATCATACTTGGAGCTGAGATTACTCCACCTTCTCAACAGCGGCAACAGATAGCAGAGATTGAGAAACAGGTTTTGATTCTTTTCTGGGTTTCTTCCTAAATATCAAGTTTGAGAGAATTCCTCCGACCACAGGTCTTCTGTTATTTACTTGAGTTGAACTTTCTTTGCAGGCAAAAGAAGCCAGTCAACTGACAGCTGTAACAACAAGGACAACAAATGTTCATGGGGATGAGCTCATTGTCACCACCACTAGTCCCTATGAGCAGGCTGCATTTGGTTCAAAGACTGACTGGCGTGTCAGGGCAATTTCAGCAACAAATCTGTACCTTCGTGTTAATCATATTTATGTAAACTCAGAGGATATAAAGGTCAGATGTGTTCTCCTATCTCATTTCTGTCGATTGTATTATATAATTTGAGTCATCTGCTGACAGTCAAGTGGTTGTTCAGGAAACTGGTTACACCTACATTATGCCCAAGAACATTTTGAAAAAGTTTATCTGCATAGCTGATCTACGAACACAAATTGCTGGATACCTGTATGGTGTAAGTCCTCCAGACAACCCACAGGTTAAAGAAATCCGTTGCATTGTGATGCCACCACAATGGGGGACTCATCAGCAAGTCCACCTCCCATCAGCTCTTCCGGAGCATGATTTCTTGAATGATTTGGAGCCTTTGGGATGGATGCATACTCAACCAAATGAACTTCCACAGTTGTCTCCTCAGGTTCTTGCTCAACTCAGTTGCTATTAATTTTAAGTAGAAAACATTGCAAGGTTTCCTAGTCCACCCTGTATAATACCATAAAATGAGATATAGAACCCAGCAAACAAAAGTATGAAATCAAGAAATTTTTATAGTTGTAAAGAGTGTGCCATTGTCATGACGAGGTACATCGTCTCACCTGAGTAAGAAACATTGCAGGATCTCACTTCACATGCCAAGGTCTTAGAGAACAACAAGCAATGGGATGGCGAAAAGTGCATTATCTTGACTTGCAGTTTTACTCCAGGCTCTTGTTCATTAACTGCATACAAGCTCACTCCATCTGGTTATGAGTGGGGACGTGTCAATAAGGATACTGGAAGCAATCCTCATGGCTACCTTCCTACTCACTATGAGAAGGTTCAGATGCTGCTCAGTGATCGCTTCTATGGTTTCTACATGGTAAGTTTTTCAATCTTCTCAAAACCTTATAGTATGTTTGTCATTCTTTCATTGGGAAACCTTCCTCTCAAATAATAGGTTCCTTCTCTTTAATTTGGCAAGTACATGTCGTGATGGTTTTCTGGTTTAATTCCTTAGGTTCCTGATAATGGACCGTGGAATTACAACTTCATGGGGGTGAGACACGCATCTGGCATGAAGTATGGAGTGAAGTTGGGAACACCACGAGAGTATTACCATGAAGATCACAGACCAACTCATTTCTTAGAGTTCAGCAATATGGAGGAAGCGGAAACAATTGCCGAGGGAGATCGCGAGGATACATTTACTTGAACTTTTTTCTCTGTAATTTTGCCCTGTAATTGGCAGAAAATGTTGTAAGTTGTAACATCTGAATAGTTTTGCTTGTCACAACACTATTACGGCACTGTAAATATGTTCCAGAATTAGCAGTCAAGTTAAATTCCTATTGAGCCTTGTCTGCTTTTGCAGATGAGTTGTCAAGTTTTGGATTACGGTTTGCTAACTATGCTTGATGAATTAAGTTGATGGGTTCAGGAGCACTTGCTTCCATCCCAATTTATCTCTTGAAAAGTATACACTACGGAACGCTACTGGCACATTTTTCAAGGATTGGTAGTAATTGTGAAGCGGAAGGGTGATAAAGTCAAATTCTGAATAACATGATTTCATCCTTTCCTTCTGTCTCCTAAAATGAAAATGTGCTGAAGGCCTAAGGACGGATCAACAAACAACTTGCTATACAAAGTTTCTATTTCGTACATAAAGCCTTGAAAGGCACATCATAATGTACATGAACAAAACACAAATGTAGATTTACAAACGATTGACCTTTTGAAGCCATATAACAAATTTTCAGATGACTATGTCCAAATTAAATGAAATGGCAAGGCTGCAATGCGAGGTAAAACCCGAGAACTAGAGGGGAGAAAAACCAATGAACAAACATCAGTTGCTCTAAACATGAAACTGATGCACACAAACCCCAAGCACTAAACCATGCTTTCATATTGATAGTGGCTAAAATGTCCATGGCACCCAATATAAATGGTACTAGCCTTGCAATAATAACAAACTGCAATTAGTGGAAGCTTCATAACCAGCACTTATTCCAGTTTCAGTATTTTGCATAATTTATGGCCCAGGATTCTCCTTCAACTCTGGTTTTGATTCATTCTCTGCTGTTATAAAGTCGGAACTATCTTCGGCAGCTTGTATCTTGTCATCGTTGGAATCAGCAGGTTGAGGGCTTCTAAAAAGTTCATGATTCTCTAGCTGAGAGAACTTCACTTTAGATTCTCCCTTCAGCAGCTCTACCACCTCCAGCATGTTGGGTCTCTTCTCAGGCTGATTCTGAGCACAAACAAGTGCAACATAAACAACCCTTTTAAGCTCTTCATCCACATAGTCACCACTTAGTCTTGGATCTGCAATTTCACTAAATTTCTTCTCAAAAACCAATGGTAGTGCCCAATCAGTTATTGACCGCTTCACTGTTGCACTCAGTTTTTCAATTGGTTTCCTTCCAGTTGCAAGTTCCAGCAAGAGAATTCCAAAACTGAAGACATCACAACTCTCAGATGCTTTACCCAACATAGCGTACTCCGGTGCAAGATAGCCTAGGGTGCCCTTGACCTTTGTAGTCACATGTGTTGCCCCCTCAGGGATTAACTTAGCAAAACCAAAATCTGCAACCTGAGCCTGGAAATCTGCATCCAAGAGAACATTGCTCGCTTTAATATCTCTGTGGATGATGTGTGGAGTTGCTTGGTGGTGGAGATATCTGAAAGAAATACATTATATGATTAATATATGAGCAGTGACACAAGCTATGAGAGAAAGGGGCAAATCAGTACTCACGCAATTCCCTCTGCTGATCCAATTGCAATACTCATCCGTCTGCTCCAATTCAGCAGGGATTCTGCTGAGTGCTGTCCATGAAGATGAGAGAGTAAGCTCAGATTTGGCATATAGTCATATACAATTAACCGTTCCTGCCCTTCAGCACAATAGCCTCGCAGACTAAGAAGATTCTTGTGTCGAACTCTTGCCAATATCTCAACTTCAACAGCAAATTCCATATCTGCTTTGTTGCTCCAAACTTTCAATCTTTTCACTGCAATCTGCATGAGTACACATTTTAAATACTTCTTACTTAATGGGGATAAAAATAATTACTAGCAGCCAGATTGAAGAGATCTATAAAAGAGAAAAGGACGATACAGCTATGTTTGCATCAAGTACTATAAAGCATATTTGAATTTGAATTGCTTCATTTCCACAACCATTCACTAAAAATCAGTTGATCAGAAGTTTGGCAGCACCTGAAACATTTGCAAAAACATTTTCTCTGAGCCTATGAAACAAACCCCCCACCCTTCCTTTGTTTTTTTTTTTTTTGGTTTTGTTTTTGCTTGGGGGGGGGGGACCTGTGTTGCCAGAAATGGCCCTAACTCAGTGAAGAGAGTTAGCATTTGTTGACAGCCACTTGAAACATGTTAAACATAGAACATGAAATATTAAACCTAAGAATCCAACAAATACATAAACATTTGTGCATATAAGTATGAAAACATCAATAAACACATGTTTCGCTAGCATATGTCAGAACATGTTTAAAAAGTATCAGTGTCAAATATTAAATTTTAAACACTTCTCATTTCTAAGCGTACCAATTACAGGAGTCAAATACTTAGTGTCATACTGATCATATGGCTACTTTCTTTAAATGTCGGTGCTTCATATCTTGTGACCAATAAAATTCAAGAACCATCATTTTTACTGTATCCACACAGACGCTTCCAATATCTTATAATTTTCATGTAAAAATCTACCTCACAGTGTCATGTAAAACTGAGGAAATTCTTTTTAAGATGACTCGAAGATATCAAAGCAGGCTCAGAGACAGAGATCAGATGGGCCATCATATTTTAAGCCAAAAGAAAGGAGTCCCATACAACATTATATCAATGTCCCTCACAAATGAGAAGATCACTTTCCAAACTAGGAGTTACAGTTACAGACAAGTACTATAAATAAATCCCTTCAGAGGCCAATAGAAGAATGAGAAGATCACTTTTGGGTTGAAACGATCATGGGCAACAAACGACCAAGAATTAAAAAAGACAGTATCCCCTTACTTGTGATCCATCCCAAAGCTGGCCCCAGTAAACACTGCCAAATCCCCCTTCTCCAAGTTTATTATCATAGTTGAAATTATTTGTAGCTGAGTGCAGCTCCTTTAAGGAAAAGACTCGCCATGGTGGTTGTTGTGACTTCCCTCGCGCTTTGCTGCATGTTCAGAGACTCTAACATCAACCTCCATTAGAAGTAACAGTTACAGACGAGTTTAAATCACATAAAAGGGGGGAAACAGTAGTTTGAAATATCCAGGTAACAAAACAATTATACAAGGCACGCCCAGAAATAACTATTCTGTCAACTTAGTTATGAAGAGCAGAGTCTAAATGTTCTCTTCAACTACCAAACTAGACCAGTAGGTTGCTTTTAGTTTCATGGTCGGAGTCATTTGATCATCCCGAGAACATGGGAAACCCAGAATCCAAAACCCTTTCTTAGTTTCATTTTCCACCCACAACTGAATTGGGGAATGCCTTGACCTTGAGTTCATATCACATATTTGATCCAAAACAATAAGAACATAGAAAAGATACAACGAGCAGTTAGTAACTAGAAAGTAGAGACCATTGTATGATTGACGTACCGATCCGAACCCCTTCCACAACAAAAGATTGGGCAAAAAGCCATACCCTTGCAACCAATCAGTCCCACCTTCTCGTATTTCTCTGTTGATAACTTCTCCGAACCCTCTGACCTCTCAGTCGAACCCAAGAAGTAAACAAAAATCCGAACTTGAGATTGACCCAGGAAACCAAATCAGATTCTCTTATTGTTCCTCCACAGCAGAAGTGATTCTTCTCAGAGCCAAGAAGAGTTAACAAGAGGGTGTGAGGAAAAAAGATGAGAGAGAAAAAGATGCCAAACGTAACACTCTGAGAGAAGCCGAAAACATGCTTCCGCGGGCAAAAGCTGATGATGTATCGTCACGCGAACGTTGGAGCTCAGCGAAAAGGAAAACCCCAAAAAAGAGCCGCAGATGAAGTTGCTTTTGTTTATTTCGGCCGATGAAGAGATGTGTAACCCCAAGTCCAGCTGTTCACAATTTTCAGAAACAAATACATGGGGTCCATTTTCTATTAAAAAAAATAAGAGCGAGGTTGTAATATGCAATTTAAAACATTAATTTAAAAGCGCTTGTTTATCTCGCAAACTATTAAAAAAAAAAACGTTGTTTTCTGGGGAAGAAGACCTTAATATGGAATGTTATGGCATGTTTATTACTATAAGTTATATTACTATATGATTACTTCTATATTACCATAAGTTTTGAGTAACTTGTTAATTTCCAGAACAGATAAGCAAAAACAAGGCAGTGAGACAAACATTCAAAACTTTGCACAATTCTTAAATGAGTAAATCGAAAGTTCTGCGATCGGCTAATTCTTTAGTACAATATGTCTCCCCGAGACTGCAAAAACAGGACATGCATGGCATGCGCTCCAGCTTCCTTCATTGTTTGTTTCTTCAGTGCCTTTTACCCCCTTGGGACTTGGATCTTCTTCTTTTGTGACTTCATATATGGAAATTTTGAATATTTGTATGTGTATGTATATGTGTATCTATAAATACAACATAAAATGGAATTGTTTTTTCCCTTACCTTTTTTTTTTGGGCGAAGTGTGGCTTTGGACCGAGGTACTAGTAAGTGCCCAAGTGGGTATTATTGGCTGTGTTGAAATAGAAGGGAAGTTTTGGCACCTACCATAATATATGAAAGAAATGTAAGTTATAGAAAATGTTAATTGAATTATTAATGAACATGTTTTTGTCGGCAAAAATGTACTGCCAACATTATAGGACACAAATCTTTTTTTTTTTTGGGATAAAATAAAAGCACAGCAGACTTAACCACCAATGGGCCCCGTATAATAGGACATAATTCTTTTGGTCCTAAATGTATATGATGTAGTTAATGTTTTTGTTTTGATCCTCGACAGTGGATCTCAATCTTTTTTTCTCATTTTTATTTAACATATAAAAGAGGAGTATTTTAAGAAAAGTAACACACATTTTTTACATAATAATAACAATTAACTAACTGAATCAATTTTCTACGTTGAATTAATTAAGTAAATTTTTTATTTAGAACTAGAAGAAGTAATCACAATAATTTGAATTCAGTGATTAACAGGAAGAAGTAATTACATCACAATAATGACTAAATGTTGTAATTTAATTGAATGATTAATTAATTAGGTGTTATTATGCTCATCAACTTGTCAATCATTGATGTCACAATAGACTGCAAGTGCTTGTCTCTTAACCTTTAGAAGACAAATTCCATAGAAATGAGTTGTTGTTTATTTATAATTATTATTATAATCTCCATTAATTGGCTTCACTAGCCACCATCTCATCATATTATATTCATAGATGCTTATATCCTCTCATCAAATTGCTTCACTCCATCATACTGTCAGCAATATTTTTTTTTTTAATTGGTGCTCTCATGCTCTGTTTGATTGGAAGGGAGAAAAATATTTATTCCCCTCTTTTTATTTGGAACAAATAAAAAATATAGGAGAATTTTTTTAATGAATTTTTAAAATTAAGAGAATTTGGAGAGATCATTAAGTTTTCTTCTCTTCCCTCACCTTTATAAAATATGACCCTCCTCATCAAAATCTCTCCTTTTCCCCTCTACTAAACCAAACACTACGTTAGACTTTAATTATTGGAAAAATTGGTTAGAAGTCTCCATTCAGCAAACTAATTGTGCAAACATCATAGGTATAAATTTTCAATTTAAATGTCCAAATTGCCCATGTCACTCAAATGGAACTTTCCAGTTTCCAGGAAACAAATAGGTTTTCTTAAATACGTGGAACTTTCCAGGAAAAGAAACAAAATTTTCCTGAAAGCGTGAAACTTTTCAAGAAAAAGAAATATTCTTTTTCTTGAAAACATGTAAATAGAAGAAAATTTTAAAAACAGGGAAGAAGCATGCATACTATTAAAGAATATTTTCATACATGGAAAACATTGCAAAGACCTAATTTCTTTAATGTTTATGGAAGAAAAATGTATATGTTTAAAGAAACATGCATATAATTAAAAAAAAAAAGAGCATATATGAACGATGACTTGCATATGGTATTAATCTAATGTCACGGAAAAAACTTGCATATAGTGGAAGAATGATGCATCCTTTGAAAAAAAAAAAATTACACTCATGGAAGACAGTTTGCACATATTTAGTGCCCATGAAAAATTATATTTAAAAAATAGCTTTTTTTTTTTTGGCCTTTTCATTCTCGCCATTAAATGTGATGGGAAAGAGTATATATCTTAGTAAAACATCATTACATTCTACTTTAATTTAGGTCATCTATTTTTTTTAATCCACGTATAAAAATACCCCAAAGCAAAGCAACGAGCATTCTAAAGCGGGAGAAAGTTCTTCTTTTTTTAAGGGCAATAAATCTTAAGGTATTTTTGCTCAAAAAAAAACTCTTAAGGTTTTATTTTCTTTTTTCTTTTTCTTTTTCTTTTTTTTGGTGAACTTAAGGTTTTTTTTTTCAACCCAACAGTGTAATTAGTATCCTTCAATGAGAGTCAACCTAGCTAGCTAAATATTAATTGAGAGGGCATATGCTGCGAGAGGTGGTCCCATATTGGATATTTATTAATGGAAACCAAATAGATACACTAATATATACTTCAGCATTAAATCACAATCACTATACAATGACTTTTAATCAACCTTTTTCCCTCCAGAGCTCTAGTACCTGCTTTGCCTTTTCACACAGCCTAAGTCAGGGTCTAGAAAGAAAACTCAACTTTATTTGCGGTACAATCAGAAAGAAAACCTTTAATATATATTCTGCTACTCGTTCATACGTACATACAGAGTCTTCCATTAGTCATTGCTTACAATAAAATCAAAGTGAAGAGAAGAAGTGAAGTTAGTCCCAACAACCTTGTAACTGCATCCGCAAGAACAGCATCCGATGAAACATATGTGGTTGTTGTTGTTGTTGTTGTTGGCTCTGATGACTTCTGATGAGTCACTGATGAAAGATGCTGCACTGTCCCAAGTGATCCTCCTCCTCCTCCTGAACCACCACTTGAACTCTCATCACACATCTCGATGCCATAATTATTGAGAGTAGAGTCTTCACTGTCCCTGAACCCACTTTTCTGATCATAACACAGACCAGAGTTATTGTACAGCCTTAGCTTCCTCTTCATCCTCCACACCATCTCTCTGCTAAATGGGACTGACCCACTTAGCCTATTATCATTCAGCCTCAGCTCGCTCAGATTCTTCAGCTCCTTCAAGCTCTTCGGGACCGACCCGTTTAGTAAATTCCCGTCAAGATGAACCACACGAAGGCTTTGTAATCTGCCCAGTGATTCTGGTATTGGGCCGTGCAGGTTCATGTTTGATAACACTAAGGTCATAAGTTTCGCCATGCCGTCAAACAAGTCAGTGGGAATTGTTGTTGGGCCTGGACCCATTGGGTTACCTTTCAGAATGAGGGCCTGAAGAGAACTCAAGCTTTTCAGGGATTTTGGGAATGGGCCTGAGAGAAGGTTGTAGCTCAGGTCCATTAGCATGAGCTCTTTCAGGCCGTTGATTTTCTCTGGTATCGGTCCGGTAAGGTGGTTGTGGCTGAGATCCAGTTTGATGAGAGAAAGGCAGGTTCCTAGGGTGGATGGTATTGGGCCGGTCAGAAGATTCTCGCCCAGGTCCAGTATGTCTAGGGAAGGGCACGTTAAATCGGGTATGGGCCCGGTTAATCTGTTGCCGCTTAGGTCTAGCGACCTTAAACCGGGGATCCGGTTCAGGGACGACGGTATTGAACCGTTGAGGTCGTTGTTGTGAAGATCCAGCACTCTCAAACGGGTCAGATTACCCAGTTCGTTCGGGATGGGACCCACGTGCCCGTTTTCTCTGAGGACTAATGTTTGTAGCGTGGGGCCCAGCTTGCCTAAAAAAGCAGGGATTGGCTGAGGATTGTAACTGAAACAACGGTAAAAGAAGAGGGTCTTGAGGTGGGGCAGCTTAGTGACGGACCGTGAAAGGTAGGACCGGGTCGGGTCGCATGTAGGGAAAGCCGTGTCGTCAGAGAGCGCTCCGAAGGAGAGTGACACGACATGGTAAACGTTGTCCTTGTCGGGCATGCACTCGATCCCGTGCCACCGGCCACGACACACGTCGGGGATATCGGAGGCCCAGTCGTTGCCGGTGGCTCGCATGATGTCGTAAACCGCTTCTTGCTCGTGAGCGTCGGTTCGAGCGCCGTCCTGCTTCATGGAGAACCCGGTCTGAGGGCCGTCGACTAGAGATGAAGGCGCGCCGCCAGAATCTGACATGATGGTCGTGAAAGACAGAGCAAGATGAGGATAAAACATGAGAGGTAGGAGCTGGAGTACTGGGAGACAAAGAAAGAGCAGCATCATTTTGGGAGTGAAATGTTAGAATTTGTGTGGAAGATGAAGACGGGAATGAGGTGTTATATAGTCGAGGGTGATGGGACCAGAAAAAAGAGGTAAGAAATGAGGTTGGTGCAGAGATTAAAGGAAGGAAATTTATGGGATCACGAGAATGAGGAGAAAGGTTATAAATGGCAGAGAGAGAAGAGAATGAGCATTTATGTGTTTCACGGGATTTACACATCACTTGAACAGGGGCCCCGCCCAGCCGTTTTTCCCACAAGGCTCTTATCTATTTGGGCCGCTCTCCATGATTTGGGCTCTTATGGGTCTCTCCATTACCCAGGCCCATTCTTGGTTATCTTTGCATGTTTTTCCTTCTTGCTTTATATTGTACCTTTTTTTTTTAATTGACAAAATCATGGTTTAATTAATTAAATAGTCTTGAGCTCAGTGAGAAAACAGCAGGGGAATATCAGAGAAAAAATTCAAAAAAAAAAATTGCTAAACGAGATATTTTGATCGACAACCCAAAATTTTTATTATTTATAGAGGTTTGTTGTTGTTATTGACAAAGCCACGATTAAGGTCCTGTGGTTACAAACAAATCACAGAAAATCTAATCATAAGAAATTTCTACATATGATGAGGGTGGAACATTAAAAATGCTAACATTGAAAACTGTCAATTATTATCTGCTTGATAAGCAAGCTCGTCGGTGCATTAATTACCTTCCTTAAAACAATAAAACTTGCCAATCCCACATACGCGCACCTTACCAGGTTTAACTCTTTGCCTTGTGAATTTCTCGTTACTCTCTCGGCGTTTTGCTTAGTTACCTGCTCGAATCTTGCTATGTTTTTATTCTAGAACGCGCTTCTCTTCATGTTATAGCACAAATTGCCCAGTTCAACAATTTCTAATTTCCCACAAATTTCTCGATTTTAAAGAATACTGAACACAGATGCAGATTTTGAACTTGATAAAATATATAGATACACATATCAGAGTACTCAAAAGGAATAAAAAGGTGTCGCATGCTTATGCATACCACGAGTCATACACAATACCTATACACTCGGGAACATCAGAACAAGCCACGTAATAGTTCAAATCATTGTAGAACAACACGTATAGTCATATAATAGCCCAAACAAAAATAATAATAATAATAATAATAATAAAAGACATGCGATAAAAGGAGAAATAAACACTGCAATTTGTATATTAACCTTCATGCTCTATGCCTCTATATTGTTCCACTACGTCACCGGTTTATTTTTGAAATCCAGAAACACAAACTTCACTTTCAAAATTCAAAACATGCAGCAAATCAAAGAGGTGAACCCCACCACCATGCAAGGCAATGAAAGCACGCAGATCACAGCGAAGAAGGTGAAGGATTTGATAGCAGACAAGAAGAGGAGGCTAGTGGAGGTGCCGTACACTGCGTCACTGTCTCAGGTGATGAGTACGCTAGTTGAAAACAAGGTTCTGGCGGTGCCAGTGGCGGCGCCGCCTGGCCAATGGATCGGAGCCGGTGGGTCCATGATCGTGGAAACGGATAAGCAAACAGGAACCCCACTGAAGCATTACATAGGAATAGTGACCATGCTTGATATCGCGGCTCACATAGCCGGAGACGACCACTTGAGCCAAAAAGATGATGGAACCGAAGATCTTGATCAAAAAATGTCCGAGCCAGTGTCCTCCATTATAGGTCACTGCCTCGAAGGTCTTAACTTGTGGACTCTCAGTCCAAACACAAGGTGAGTATCTAACTATTTATATATTTATTAACAACAGTTTAAACTTGTTCGGTATATTAGAATTTTTGCACTATTCTAATCATCAATTAAAGCTTTTCATTTAGATCAAAATAGTTTCAACTACTTTGATAAAGAACTTAACACACTTATATAGTAATTGATAATAGTATGATTTATTCTCTAGTAAACTTAAGTAATACTACATCATACATCTAATATTTTTTTTATTTTTTATTTCCTTTCCTCTTTTTTGTTTTTTGTTTTTTCGTAATATCAATTCTCTTGATACTGTGTTAATTTTTTACATTTATTATCATAAACTATTAAAACTTGTCACTTACATCAAAAGAGCTTAAATTACTTTGAAAAGAATCGCCCCACACTTAAATAATTGTGACTTGTGATTAATTCTAATCACTAGATCTATAACATATAATATTTTTCTTACTATTTTTCATTTCCTTTCTTTCCTTTCTTATTTTTTAATATCAATCCTTTTGATATTATATTAAACTTTTTCTATTAATTATAAACTAATTAAAGCTTGTTACTGCTTGCATCAAAATAGCTCATAAAGTACTTAGAAAGAATCACCACACCTTTATATAGTTGTGACTAATTATTAATCACTCGACATGGACACCTGATATTTTCTCTAATATAGTTTTCATTTCTTTTTTCTTTTTTTTTAACATCAATTATCTTGATACTACCTTCGAGTCACAAACTAATAGTCATAAACTAATTAAGGTTTGTCATTTAGATCAAAATAGCTTAAATTCTTGGAAATACTCACCACACAGTTGTATAATTCTTAAATTGTCACACCTAAAGTTTGAGCTTAGTAATTCATATATAATAAAGTGAAATTACTTGAAAACTGGACCTTGCCATGTAATTAAACTTGAACTCGTGATATGTTTTGTAGTTTATTGGATTGCATGGAAGTATTTAGCAAAGGGGTGCACCGAGCTTTGATACCAGTGGACAGCCAGATGCAGCAGATATCAGAAAGTGGAGGAGTTGAACTCATAGAATCTTCTTCAGGCTACCAAATTCTGACTCAAATGGACGTAATGAAGTTCTTGAAACAACACTCTATAGAATTGAACAGCATCGTAGGACGATCTGTTGAAGATCTGTGCGCAGTCACAGATAAAGTGTACGCCATCACTGAACGCACAAGACTCATCGATGCCATCAGGTGCTTGAAAGCTTCCATGCTAAACGCTGTTCCCATCATCAACGCCTCTGAAGTCGGCCCAGATGATCACAAGCAGCTTCTCAATGTAGGTCTCACAACAAACACAGACGCACATACACACACATTTTAACTTGGGATTGTGATGAGAACATGTTTGTGATGGCAGGGAAGAAGCAGGAAGCTGATAGGGACATTTTCTGCGACAGACTTAAGAGGATGTGACTCAGAGACACTGAGATTCTGGTTAGGGAAAAGTGCTCTAAAATTCACAGAACTGATTGGTAATGGAGGGTCGTCGTCAAGAAGAGAAGTAGGGACATGCAATTCAGAAAGTGGGTTATGTGAAGTAATTGACAAGGTAGTGAGTAGACATGTTCACAGAGTGTGGGTGGTGGACCAAGAGGGTTTGCTCGTAGGGGTTGTGTCACTCTCAGACATAATTAGGGTTATCAGGACTTGTCTGCTAAGCACAGAGTGGTGATTAATAATACATACATACATATATACAGTGTCTGTTTTGTAGGCCGGATCGGAGAGTTCATGTGAGTACGTACGTAGAGGTTCTTATCCTTTGAAATAGAATATAGAGGCAGTGGAATCTGAATGCGTGATGCAGATTCGGAGATGGGGTTTTATAAGGGTACTGTAATATATATCCACACACAGCACATGGGGGGTGGCTTGGACTCTTCTTGTAGTAGTTGGCACTAAATAACGATGCCTCTTGAATACTAATTCCATGAATTTTTTTTCCTTTTGATTGAATGTTCAATGCAATTTTGTTTTTTTTTTTTGGGTTTTATGAGTGTATGGCAATAACAATGGATTTTTCTTTTTGGCCAACTTTTCATATAGCATTTACTTACGTCCAGAGAACATTTTGTATTCTTAAAATAGTAAAAAAAAAATCATTTGCTTTCTAATTATCATCCAATGTTTACAATACAATTAATAAGAGCAATTGTACGTGTAATAAGAAATTTTAATATTATTAACTTTTTACCATGTGTCTTGTATTTTGAATCTGACACATACTCCATTTGGTTTTTAATATAGTAAGTATCTTTGCACGCATTAATAATTAATAATTCTATTCTTAAAATTATTTAAAAATATATAACTTTTTAATTAATAGCTATAGTAAAGGGAAAATTAGAGTGAGGACTGAGCTTAAAAATTCTAATTATTAATGACCAACTACTAAAATGTAAATTTTAAAGATATTAAATTGCCTCGGTCAAATATCCTGCATTATCCCACTCCATATGTTAGTTTTCTTGACAGTTTATAAACAAATGGATATTGGTTGAAGTTCCTACGTCTCATGTATGTGAATTTATTTTTAATTAACTTAATCTATGATCGATTTGAAGAGTAGTCAGTTCAATAAGAAGCTGCTTAATTGCTAAAGACTACTTGATATGTTTATCGAAATTGTTGAATATCAAAATTAAGATGCCCTCCAAGTTTGAAAAGGGAGAAAAAAGAATGGAAGCAAAATGCTGACGGATGCAATATAGCCATTTAGTCAAATTTCTTTCGCAAGGGCACATAATGGTCTATCAATTGTATTTTAGTCCTTCAACATAATTTGGATTTTTATGGTCGTTTATAAAGAAAAATATTAATTGATGTAGACCCTGGAATATAATTTTCACTATAATAAATTGTTAGGAGTTGATGATAATGAGTTTCAATTAAATTAATAGACATACGTAATGAAATTATCAGGCATTTAATTATTAGATCCAACAGGCGAGCAAGAATTACAAATATATATAAATAAACAAATTACTTATTACTGAATCAATTATTTGTGGCACAGAAATAACAGTCCTTCGCTTCTTTGTATGCACGTTGTCTTCCGGTGGCATCAATGCTTTTTTTCTTCGAAACGTCCAAAACTACTGAAACAAGAGGAAGAAGGGACATGGTTATGGAATTTAATAATGAAGAAATAATGTATGATAGGTTAATTATAATATAAATTCATTTGAATAAATTTATTTATTCCTCTTGATTAATTAGAAGTGTTTAAAGTGTATTATAGTACTTTCTATTGGTTAACGAAATAAAGAAATTTTTGTATATTTTACTTTAACATTAATTGAAGAGATATAAAAAACGTACACAAATTTCTCAATTGAAAAAAATCATGTACATCATGTAATTTAATTATAAAGGACTTATTTTCTCAATTATATAGGACAGCGAGGTACGATTTAGGACATATATATACATAATACTAATTTGAAATTAAATTTAATTAGCGATATATAATCACAATGTTATAAAACGACACAAGATCCTACAGAAACAAAAAAACAAAAATTAATGCCAATATTCTGATGACAAATTGTGAAGCAGGCAAAACGGAAAGAAAACCAAAACCTTCATAAGTTCATATGCGTATGCTTCTCCATATCCTGCTCGACAAAACATGAAACCAACCTCATCGTATCAAACCAGAACTTTGACTCTATTCTGTTTATGATGTTTTCTAGCTTCTCCAAACATTTAAATGATGCAATATGTTGTAGTGTAAAAATTAAAATTCTCTAATGCCTTCCTTAATACAATTGAAGTTACACAAACAGCTATTTTGCTGACAATTAGGATGTACTCAGAATGTTAGGTTCGGGCTCCCTTCTTATGTGGAGAAGGGCTCAATACTAAAGCCCATTATAAGTCTCACTAATTAAAGTAGAAATGGGTCAAATTAGGTTATGAAAAAGAAGTCATATTCAAGATTGAGATGCACTTATTTGAGAAAGAAAAGGGAGTTGGGGAGAGAGCAATTTTCGCATATTCACAATGTGTAATATTCTCACTCCATTAAACTCAATTAACCAATAAAACTCATGATAATCAAAGTATTAACTCAAAAGGTGATTACCAAGGTTTAGTTCAAAAGTAAGGGATCCCAAGTTTTCTAAATGACAATGAGTTTAAATCTATCAAAATCTTTTATATCAAAGTAAAAATAAGTTTTAAAAGCATAGGATACCTCAGAGGAGTGAAAGAAGTCAAAAACAGTTGAAAAACAAAACATGTGCTATGATACAAGGTAATGTGCCGCAGCTCATGCATACTGTGCCACGACGTGTTGCTCTCTATGCCACACATTGCGGCTCAAGCACCATGCGTCGAGGTGTTTTGCATGAAAAATCAACAAATTCTGCTGTCATTTAACAGCAGAATCGAGAAACTTTCGATGAACCTTGATTCTCCATTCGACATCCGAATGATATGGTATAGGTATCTACGAAAAGCTCTTTATATAAACTAGCTAGTGGCACGAGTTTCACTTTCAAACAATTCACACTAGAAAGATGGACACTCAAACATATTTTTAACCACTTTTTACCACTTTAACACAAAATGAGTGTCCAAAACTCTCAACATATGCCAAAAGCATTTCGTAACACTTGGATCATATCCAATGAACCTAGGACTATCAGTACAACACATCACAAGCACTAAAACAATACTATAACAAAAATTCACTTATCAATCCCATTTTATTAAATATCAAGGAGGTAAATAGTCATTACTTTATACCTAAAACAATCAAAATATGCTCAAATGTTTAATTCTACACTTGCACTAGTATTTTGACCCTATTAACATATATATCAACATATACAAAGATTCAAGGCTCAAAATACAAGTCTAATATTCCCAATAACAAATAGCACAAGTGTGATGGCATGCATCCTAGAATTGGTGTTTATATACTATTACACAAAATAAATCTAAGTTAAAGGAATACAGTAGGAATATAGTAATTTGTAGCCTCTTAAGCCTTTTCTGTCGCTGCACCAGAGTTAGAGCCTGAAAAATGTTAAATGAAAGGGATGAATCTAGTCACTCAGTAATCAAGGTTAAACCTATCCTATGCGGTTATAGATCAATTATAAACCAAGTACATACATAAGAAATCAAGTATCTAAAACAAGCGCACATATATCATAACTTGTCATTGATCATTAAATAACTTCTTTATCTCTCATAAATTAGATACATTGTCATCATATTCTCAGATATGTGACCTTGACCCATTACTCACACGACTTGCCACAACTTAGCACATGTGACACGTCATATATTTATATAGGCAATATCAACTAACCTTATATCCTTCTTATTTCTTTAGACTGAAACTATAGGCTATAACACTGATTGAGGTTCTGTCCGTGTGACTGGACTACCTAAACTTACTAATCGTGAGGTGTGATCTAACTAAAGATTACATGACTCACTCTCAGACCACGACTTCTCCTGTTCTTGAATCTTGGAGATGTCTTATACTCTAGACTATTCTTCTCATTGAATTGGTAGAGATAGCTAGGTTCTAATCCCTCAATAAACTATGGGACAAGGCTATACCCCCGTGCACCAGAGAATAACCTAAATACTATATAGATTTTCTCTATTCCTAATCCGTAGGCAAACTCCTGCCATTGATCATGCCATAATCAATACTTACTTATTTTAATATTTTCATTTTTGTTTACTCATCATCATAACAAATCACGTTGGGCTCATGATCATGCACTACCCAAGTGTGTATTCTCATCATCTTCTTAAAATCTATTTCTCATCAACACACATCTATCTCACATAATCATCACATTCATTTTTTTAAACACATATGCATGTTCATATTCAAAAATATCTTAATTAGGCATTTGCATTTCAAGTCATAATAACTTTATGCACATTCCATTTTTCATATACTTATCAAAACTAGCACATGTTTTTCACATTGAAAATCAACCCATACATGCCACACTCATAATAGAAATTAATTTACAATCAATTAATATATAACTACCTAAAGTAGAGTTTTCCCTAATTATCTCAAACCTTTGAGAGGTCAAAGATTTACTCATCAATCTACTAGCTTCCCAGCTTGAATTTCTAATCCAATAGGTGACCAAGAGCCAAAACTACAATCAATCAAGTTGCATTTCATCAACATTACCAATTCAAGCATTTACACCTTCAATCTTTTACTTCTAAATTAACCAATGTTCGCTCTACATGAATTGGAGCATATCCATTGAATTCATTATCTATCTATAACATCATATAGCTTTATTGAACAATCATATTGCCATTAATACCTCAACAATCATAATAATAATAAATTTAATGTTCATTTTCGAACATTAATGGAGCTCATCATTTGATAACCAATAAAATTATTTATACTAGGTTTAAATACTCTAAAAACTTTCATTAATTCTATTTGAGTCAATAGGTTTAGACCATACCCTATATGGACCGAAATCACCATCCTCATCTAAACCCTAACTCAAATCCTTAAAAAAATGAAAGAGGAAAGGAGAAAAAAAGGGTTTAGAAATCTTATATTGAATGATTTAAAGCTTCAAATCTTCTCAAATTCTCATCGAAGTCGCACCCTAGTAGAGCATTGGCGCGTCTCTCCATTTTCTCTTTTCTCTTCTCTCTTTTTTGTCTCAGGTTCGCGTTTGATAAATTGCAAAAAATGGCTATATGTCGCGGCGGACGCACAATGTGCCGTGGCTCATGGCATAAAAGGTCTTCCTCGCATTTGAAGTGTTTGTGTGTCGTGGCGGACGATCTCCACACCACAGCATGTGGCACAGCAATATCACTATTCATTTTTCTTCTCCTTTTAATGCTCGGGTGACCCGCCTTAATACCGGACCCATAATTAAAGTTGAAATACAATCAAATTTGATTATTAGATCTCTCTACTTAATTACCCTAATTAAGTTAATTAATTAGGAGATTAAAATTCAGGATGTTACATAATGTACTCTCAATAAATCAATATTTGCGAATTCATTAATTGTGAGATCAAATTGAAATTTGGTCAGTTGATTTGGAGCATTCAATTTATCATTTTTAATGGTTGGATTGTTGATTAGTTGCTTGATGTGAAAGTTATTCCATTCGCACTACACTTTCTGGCTTGAGTGTTTTTTATCTTCTCCATCCTTTTGTAAGTTTGTTGCTTTTTGATTGAGACTCTCTTATACTCTACTCCCTCCGGTCCTATTTATAAGTCATTTCTACCAACCTCATCAATACCAATACAATAAAAGTACAAAGAATAAAAGTAAGTAAAATTTCCAAACATGCCCCTATATAACAAATCTAAAAAGTAATGTCCTGTTACTTTTTCTCTCTCATGAAGGGTAATTTTGGAAATACCTATCAAATATTACCTAAAAAGACGCACTATAACTTATAAATGGGACCAGATACACCTTCTAAAATTGGACTTATAAATGGGACTGGAGGGAGTATTTTTTATCATAGTATAGCTTTTTTTTCATTAGTTTGATCAATCTTTGATTTTTATCTTTACATTGAGAGGTTTTCCATGTTAATAATTCTTTGTGTCTCTAATTGAATGTTCTGTTTATTTTTCTATCATATATTTATTTATTTGCTTCTCTGACCTTCTAGATGAAAATTTATTTCTACTATATATAAATTATTTGGATGTGCTTTTCTTATCATAATCCAAACTTCTTTAGAAGAAATAAAGAATGATGGTTAAAAGTTTTTAGATGGAAACGGAGGAGAGGCTATAATTATTTTAATTTTTAAAAATTGAGAAATTGGATTAATTTTTTTAATCAAATTTTATTCCTCTTATAATTTAAATGTTTTTATTATTAAAATTTCATAACCCCACTTGTCCTTATTTTTTTAACTCATTAGAAACATCCTTTCCTTTCAAAACCCTCCAACCAAAGAGGAGTAATATATAGTCAAGATCAATAAATATATTCTAGATTAATTTTTTTCTAGAATGGCCATATCAGTTGTTTGACATGGTGGCTGTGTATTTAATTAAATTTCTTTGTTAAGGTGTTAATTAAGCGTAAGCTGATTTGATATTAAAAGTCTTGCACCTAATGGAATTGAGTTTATATATATATATGAAAAACCTACGCACTTGATTGTTGTGATTGTAAATTAAGATGCGACATCTCATTTGAAGTCTAAAAATTTGTTGACCTCGCGCGAGCCACGAAAGGAAAGGACTTCGTGCTTATAATTAAAAAAGAAATTGTATAATAAATTTCTTAATATTTGCCTTACAAATTTTAATTTGTGTTCATATACATACACACACACACACACACATATATATATATGGAAAAAGTTTATAAGAAAGTATCTACTATGAAAGAAGTCAATAATATTTAAAGTTAAATGGTAAATTAATCTTTAAATTATAAACTCATTTTTAATATAATATTCTCTTTTAACTTTTAAAAACAGTATAATTTAACTTTTATCATTAGCAAAAATTAATTTTACTTATTAGTGAACTAGAAAATGATAAAAAAATTATAAAAAGGACCAAAAAATACAAAAGAGGGTCTGTTTTTATAATTTTTGAGGTTGTGTTTTATCATTTTTTGATTAATTAATAATTAAACTTAACTTTTATTAATAGGAGGAGGCTAAATTGTATTGTTTTTAAAAATTGATAGAAAACACTGCTTCAAAAATTGATGGACTTATAATTTAGAGACTAATTTGTATTTTTACCCTAATATTTTGGAGGACATTTGTTGAAAAATATTTAAATTTTTTATAAAAAAAAAATCTTAGGAAAAAGAGGAACATGCCAATGCCATGTGCTTGCTTTTTGCCATCATTTGAGAGTGAGGTTTCCGTGAGATGGTTCATGGTTGGTGTTTTAAAGCACAATAGTGTTTATTAAGGGAGAATGACAAGCAACAACCTTATAAAAATATGAATATCAAATTAGAGTTTTTTAACATTAACATTTCTAATTCAGTATTCATCCTCTCATTTTTTTAGTATTAAAATTTTTAATTTAATATTAATATTCTTATATGTTCTTGTTTGTCATTTTCCCTATTAATAACCCACGCACAACACCATCACATTAATGTGCCCTGGACTTTGGTTTTCTCTGGATCGCACGGCAATGTGGACTATGTGGATCCCACTGCATTCATCCAAAATAAAAGCCACCTCCTGAAAAGTTTTTTAGAAAATTAATTTAATTGGGAAACAAAAATAAAAACAAAACAAAACAGGATAAAAAAAAATTAAGGCATAATGAAACTTTCAACCAGTCAAACTTATTTCAATCTTCTTAAATTAATTGATTAAATGTTGGTATATGGTAAAATTATACTCCTTTCGTTAAAAAATATAAAACATTTTTTGAGGAGTCAGATATTCAAAAATATAAGACATTTTTTGTCTTTCGAGATGTAATTATTACTTTTTTAAAAAAGTATTCCTATTAATAATGACTTTATATTTATTGTAGGGTGTTTAATAAGAGTAAATATAAAAAGATAAAATTATTTAAAAATAAGTAATTACTTTATTGAGAGTTGAGATTCAATTAAAAATAAATTATATTTTTAAATGAAGGATATAACATTTTTAAAACTTATGAGATAATATTGTAATCAAAAGTTAAAAACACTAATTACACTTGCTAAAAAACTTTCCAACAAAGATTTGAGAGAATAATATTAAAATTTTAAAACAGTGAATTTATGATAGAAAGTTTCGGATAAAATTTTTTGTCAAACAATTACAAATTTTAAAATTTGAATCATAAATAAAATATTTAAAATTTAAATATTATTTTCAATTTATAATTAAGATTCCTGTTTTCAAAAAAGAAAACTCCGTGTCTCCGTCCAGGTCCAACCGTGTTAACTTAACAATATAAACATAAATTTAAAAACATAAAGAAATAATACTTTAAAAAAAAAAAGTGGAGGCGGGGTCCACATCCAAGCCTGTACCAATAGAAAGCATAGCTTCATCAAACCCAGAACCAGAATCAAATCCCCCACCACGCACCGCCCTTCTCGTCTCTCTAATTTCTCTTTTTAATAAAATCTTCAAAAATCTTCCCCCAGCCCCAATTCCCTAATTTCCCAATCTTCCCAGTCTTAATCCTCTTCTTCGTCCCTAATTTCCCACCTACTTAATCCTCGTAATCTCCGCCTCCTCCTCCTTCCCCATCCGTCCTTTATATATAATACCTCTCCCAATGCATTTCCTCTCTGTCTCCTCCTTTCTTAACGGCCATGGACGCCGTTAACGCCCACCCCTCTCCGCCATCACTCCCGCAACCACCACACCAACAGCATTTGTCACCTCCGTTAAGCGCAGGCACGCCGCCGGAACGGGGCCTGCTTCCGCCGTTGAGGTAGATCGCCGTGTGCATGACATGGGGAAGAAGAGTGTGTACAGTCAGGCGTCGTTTATGCAATGGACGGTTGCTGATGCCGTCCACGTGGCTAGATTCCATTGGCTACCCTGCTTGTTCGCTCTCGGCCTCCTCTTCTTCATGGCCGTCGAGTATACCCTCCGGATGGTGCCCTCGTCCTCGCCGCCGTTCGATTTGGGTTTCGTCGCCACTCGGTCCCTTCACCGACTCCTTCAATCGTCGCCTCAGCTCAACACTCTCCTCGCCGCCCTCAATACGGTACGTCGCTCCCCCTTGTTCCAGATCTGAACGAGAATTCATCTCCTCGCTGTTTGTTAAACGACATTTAAGAATCAAATGGCTCTTTTTTGCTCTCTGTTCTCTTCCGGGTCCAGAAGAGAAGAATCTAAATCTGTTCGACCAAATCACAAGCAAGTGGGGTATAGCCATGGGACCAAATCTGAGCTACCAGGTCCATCTGATCTCTTCATTTATGACCATGTTTATTGACTCAGTTCGCTAACAGGTGTTCGTAGGAATGCAAACAACTTATATCCTTTGGACTTGGCTCATCGAAGGACGCCCCAGAGCCACAATCTCAGCTCTCTTCATGTTCACATGCCGAGGCATTCTAGGCTCTGCCACTCAGCTTCCGTTACCTCAGGTGAACAAACAAATACTGATAATTCTCCAGATTGAAATACATATTGTTGCATCATACAGAAGCAGGGGAGTAATTGGAGATGGGTTTTATTTGATTGGTGTGAAACAGGGTTTTGTGGGATCAGGGGTGGATTTTCCGGTGGGGAACGTATCGTTCTTTCTGTTCTTCTCCGGGCACGTGGCGGGGTCGGTGATAGCGTCGCTGGACATGAGGAGGATGAAGAGGTGGGAGCTTGCGTGGACGTTCGATGTGTTGAATGTGCTTCAAGCCGTGAGGTTGCTGGGGACGAGAGGCCATTACACCATAGATTTAGCAGTGGGCTTGGGAGCTGGAATTCTGTTTGATTGTTTGGCTGGCAAATACGAAGAGAGCAAGAAGAAGACAATTCCTTCTTCCTGCAACGGCGCCACCAAAGAGGCTCTCCTAGTGTCCTTTACCGCTACTAACTAGCTAATTACTAATTAGGCATTTTCTGTAAGATATATGTAACTTTTATATGTTATTTATTTATATGAAAAGGAATTAGAGGGTCTTGGAAATTCGTCATGATGTTCTTTTTCGATCAGATTAGTGTGCGCCAGTTTGAAGAATGAACCGAAAGATTACATTACGTGATTTCCTTTTTTAAAAGGGTAAATGGTAGAAAGAGAAAAGAGCGATTTCAAATTAGTAAGGTGTAACGAGCAAGGTATTTTTCGTGTGATGATAGGCGATTCGTGTAATTTTGTTTTTAAGCTGTTCAAGACATCAGAAATGACCTGTATTCTTGTTAGTTCTTTTTAAAGGTTTTAGTTTTAACTATATATATGTTAGTAGCAACAAGGGACTCGCGCATGTACTTCAGAGCTTCAAAAAAATGAAGGTTAAATGTATATTTTAGTTCTAAAGTGTTTTTCAAGAAACATTGACACCTTAGATTGTTGATCGAAATAATTTTATTTTTAAAATAATTAAAATAAAGTATTTTTATCTTTGTCATTAAATTTTTTAATAGTTAATGCTGGAGTTTTAATTAACATTTTCTAACACAAATACTAAAAATTTAACGGCAAAAATAAAAATATTTTATTTTAATAATTTTAAAAGCAAAATTATTGTGAAGTGTTGGTTGCTTTCCCAAGAGAGACAAACATGAAAGGTACTGTAGATTACAGCGTATATAACTGATGATCAAGACATTCTATTGGATTTTAGTCGAAGATTTCAGTAACTATTCTTATACGTTTAATACTATACTTTTATCTAACTAAATTAAAATAAATAAATTTTAACATGTTAATAATATTAATAAAATTTTATTATGAAATAAATAACATGCAAAAGATTCATCTAATTAAAAATAAATATTTTAAATATATAAAATTAAGCATAATAATTCTTGTGAGAGTTTGGGGGAAATGGCAAAGGTTGACTTAAAAGTTGACGATTCGAAGGATATTTTGTGAGAGCTGATATGCATGCATTTGAAGTGGTAGAATTGAATGTGAAAAGGGATGGGGGACTGGAAAATATGAAATAATATGAATAAATTATAAACAGAGAGAGAGAAGATGGAAATGGAAGCGCATTGTATAAACTATAAGGCCTCATTTGGTATGATGGAAGAGTTTTTAATGGAATCGGAATCGGAATCGAAATTGGAATTGGAATTAGAATCGGAATATAATTGAGTTTTAAAAGTGTGTTTGGTAGGAAGATGGAATTCTAATATAATATTAATTTATATATGTACTTAAAATAGGAAAAGACTAAATTGCACTTTTTTTTAAATTAAAAAGACCTATCTTGTTATAAATGGACAAAAAAGATGAGGATAGTGAAGTTCACAAATTAAATTCAAGGGAATTGAAGCAATTCCATGATCAATATGATGGAATTGGATTCTAACATTTTTGGTGGAATTAGGATTCTTAGAAATTACAATTCTTACATATCAATCGTGCTTAAATTAAAATTTCATCTTTAATTTCATTGTCACCTTGTCAATTCAATGCTATCAAATATGGCCTAAAGCTTCATTGAATTGGCCTTGTGTGTGTATTGAATGCTACCGACCAGGCCTCCGCTGCGTGTCCACGAGGACGAGGTTGGCTCTCATGTAGTACAAATAACGTCATGTATACATTGGTTTCAAAAATCAAAATAACGTGGTTGCATGTACGTTGCCACAATCAAGTAGTAATCATCTGCGAAACGCAAGTAAATTCTACCAGTTTTTATTACTACTTTCATGTCAACGTGTTTACTGCTTTACTTTTCTTAAATACTTCTCTATTCCTTTTGCTATTATTTATATAAGCCATTTAAAACACAGATTTTGTGATCTACGTTTTGATTATTTGTCATAAATTTGTGTTTTTACCCATATTCAATCTTTATATATGAAATTCGAATTTTTTTCACGGATGAATTTAATATGATCAATGTAGAATCTTTTTTATTATTAAATGAAGTTAATAAATTTTAATATTTTTTTAATTTCAGTACAATTTTAAAGTATAACATCATATAATACTCCGTTCCTCCTTCAACCATTTGAATTTGAATTTTAATCTCTCATGTAAAATTTTATTCAAATCAACATGTCTTTTAGTCAATGTTTTTAAAACAAGAGTGATTATTAAATCCATCAAGATAGTCGGACTATGATCAAATTTAAGTGGAATTGATTTTAATTAAATCAATTTAATAATATAATTTAAAGAATTTGTCTAAAAATAAAAAATATTTCAGATAAAATGTATTCATGTCCATTTCGTACATGCTAAATTTACAGTCAATCACACCAGCATTATAACAAAAATATTTATTGTCCCTTACAAATCGCCAAAATTATCAAACATGTTAGATTAATTGTTCAACTAAATTAGTATAAGGTTCCATGATTAACCAGAACCTCCAATAGATCGTCGAATATATATAGATAATATTAAAGAAAAACCAATCAAAGACAAATAAAACACTAACATAGCTTTCGATTATTGGGAACTTAAAAAACAGTTCGAGACCAATTTGATTGATTTTTAATCAGGTTTCATCAGACTCGGCTAATTTTTCCTTTGGTTTACTTTTCCCCCTATTCTGAGGGTGTATTAGGCCAAACATATGACCGATTATTGATCTGATTAGTCAAACTAGCCGATTGAAAACAGCTTTGACAACACTAATTTTAGCACAAAATTTTTATCAAATGATTTTCTTTTTCAATCACATTAAGAGGGTTTAAACTTTTAACTTGTTCCCACATCCCATCACACGTTTACCACTTAAACTAGCATTGGGTGGCTTTTATAACATAGTTATTTAATGAAAGGAAAAATACACCAACATAAAGACAGCTTATTTTACAACCAAATTAAAAATATTATATCATATAAAATTTATAACAAAATGTCATAAAACTCACTACAGATGGCTAGCATGTTATTATATCCAACAAGCATCCCATATTACTACTCGTGTTCTAACATAATTTTTGTTAAGTCACAAACTGCTTTTTTTCCCCCCTTTAAAGAGTTGCAATAATTTATTGTCTATAAAAACCAAAAACTTCTGTGTATTTTAAATACCAAAAATTGGTTCAGAATCTATTAGCGTCCACAAGTATTGGACCTTAGCTAATAGAAAATTAATTCAAACGAAAATTAATCAAACGGCAATAAAAGGACAATCCTAACATAGTTGGGAAAGGGCAGGCTCAAATGTTTTTTGCCTTCTTTTTCCCCTGTTTGTTCTTCTCTTAACTAATGTCTCAAATTTAAATATTATACATGAACAAAATTATTGCTAAGTGAGCTTTACACCCATATGATTTATCTTGATTAATGATTCTGAAAAATCAGATGGATTGAAATGTGGACACAGGACAAGCTAAATGGAAACTCTGTTTGACTGCAATGCATCACCCATGACTCTGAAGGAAAAGTAAAAAATGGGGACAGAACAAAGTAGTCATGTAATAAGGCTGTAAGTAACTGCAATTTTATGAGGGATTAATAATGGAATTTACAAAGTCCCATGTATACATGTGATTTGAGATATGCATCTGTATATGAAGTATAATAACAATACCAATAACAATAATACTCCTATTCCTCAGACTCAGAATCCGTCTCCAAGGCACATGTACCATCATCTACATTGGCTAATGGATTGTACAATGGAGAGCTAGGATCTGTACACCCAACAACCAAATCCAAACTGCACCTATCACCCTGCAAATTTATTCATTTCGATATCCTTAACATTCACTACCACATTTCATAAATCCCACCACAAGGAGGAAAAAACACACAAAATTCAGTTGATGAGACAGTGTATCAAACTAACTTCTTTATTCATCCTTTCCCATACTTTCATATTTTCTTTTGAGAGAATAACAACTAGGGACCTTATAAGAAAATTAATGCTAAATTAGGATCTTATCACAATTAAGGTTTTCAAATTCAGTACTCCGTCTCCTATATTTTAACATTGAAAAATTTTTAAAATCCTAATTTGTTAGTAACCTTCATATGAGGTCATCCTTAATTGTCATTCTTCCTTTTCTTTTTGAGCTTTGACATTTTCATTTTAAAGAAGGAAAAACATAGAATGAAACTGACTCTCCAATGCAGAACTTTAAAAAGTGATGATTGAAATGTCAAAACTTAAAAAGAAAAACTTGAAAGGTTCAAAAGAGAAAATGAAGAAAGAAGTTGGTTTGAATACACGTGGACAGAATCCAGAGCAGGTCACTGAAGAGGACCCCACCATTTTCCCCCTTTTCTCTCCTTAACTTGATCTCTTAACTTTAGAAGTAAAAAAATGATCATTCTATTGAAGAAGAAAGACAATGAAGATTTGAAGAATTCACTGTTTAGTACTCACCCCTTCTTTAGACAGATTACCGATCATAGCACATCTGGCAATGATCATATTTGTGTCTGGGAATATTGCCTTCTCACATGCTCCTTCTTTACTCAGTTCCTCTGCCAATCCCTATCACAAGATTTATAACTTCTAATTCAGGATCATCTTCACCATGTACCCAAGCATATCCCATTTTTTGAACTTTCATGTATTTAGCTCCTACCTTCTAGAGTAACTTATTTACACTCGCCAATTAAATGTAAGCATGCCAATAACACTTAAGTAAGACCCACAAATGACATGTTTACAAAAATTTACTCATACAGGACTAAATATTCTTATATTTTGTAAAATGAGTCTGGTAGAGAATCTTGCATCACGTTTTACTTTTACCTCGTTAAAGAAGTCAATTGTCTTGTTTTGCCAACGCTTAGGAACTTGAAACTGAAGCCTGTAGGGGCCATCCCACTCAACTCCATTTGTAAAGGAGAAGATCAAATTCAGAGCTAAAACACAAAGGGGGGAAATGTGAACTTGATGAGAAGACAATTAACGGTTTTATGAGGGGAGAAAAACATGCAGAGAAATAAGCATACCGTGCTTAGGAATGCATATTTGGATGGTGTATATTGGGGCATCAGCTTTGCCTCTATCTTTTCTCAGCATTGCTCTTGGCTCACCACCACACATAATTGGCTGGTTAAAACCACCTAAAAAATTTGCAACTTCGTAAGTCAATCCCAAAAAACATGACTAACAAAATGGATATCATCAAATCAGAGGTAGTATGAAGAACAAGGCAGCCTCATTACAACTTGATAAGTGATATAGTTAAGTCTCCTGAATCATGTGTGAAACAACTGTCTGTGGACTTTAAAGGATTAAACTCTTCTACGTCTAATGAAAACTTCCAGGTTGAAAATTTGTGGGATAACATAACTTAGTTAAGATAATCGAAATTACCATTAAAACCAATTCCAAATTCTTCACTGGGGGCAAGCTGAGATGCCGCTGGATTGTAAAAAAGCTTTAGCTTTTCTCCCTGTCAGAATTTACATAAGTATTTACTTGAAGGCTAATAACAGCCAAAGAACTGAACTATATGTTGTACTGTCATACGTACCGAGGTAGGAGGAAGACCATTCATGGTTTTCCAAAAGACAGGGGCCATCCCAAGTTCAAACATAGCCCACGAAGGAAGTTTGTACCTAAAAAAGCCACATAGTCGAGATTGTAACATTGCACCAAAAGATAACTCAATTCTTGAGAAATTAAGTATCCCTAGACAACAACATAAAGAACACTGCATCTCGAGACAATAACAAGAAACTTCGGTAAGAAAAAGGTATTTTGTGGGAGTTCATACTCCTGAATTTCCTCAAGCGGAGATGTCACAGCAACAGCAGTAGCAGCAGCACTGATTTTTCTGCTGATTTTAACATTTCTTTTCTTTACTGGTGAAGAATTTGTCAATGGTACATTGAGAAAATTGTTGGCTGCATCAGAAATGATACAACTATTACAATAAGAAAGATACAAGACTAATTCAGATTTAATAATTGCATTCAAAATTTAATGCTTTCTTCTATTCAAACTGTCAATCCACATCTTTAAATGGGCTGATGCAATAGTATATCATATGTTACAGGAAATGTAAATAAAAACAAATGAAATTGTTTTCTCCATATCTACAGAAATCATTATGATATTTCTAAACATTGTAGCATTGAGCTGAGGAACGACGTCCAGATTATGATGTAGTAACTACTCATAAATCATATTAGAGGAAATACACTCTTCAGTTTCTTGACTAAGTGTGTAACTTTTTCCCAACAATGGTGTCATGCTGATGAAATTGTCAAAATGAATGTATACTGGAGGTCCATCATCAATTGAGGCAAAAAAGAAGAAGAAGAAGAAGAAGTCAATCATTAATCAATTTGAATCCTCTTTAATTACCAAAAAAAAAAGGATTGCATATAATACGCTCAAATAAAAAAAGAAAATAAAAGTAAACATGTTCCAGTCGTGGTTATTTATGAACGTAGTGATTGCATGACTGGAAGAAAAAAAAAAATCAATTTATATCATTGACAACTTTATCGAGGTCGGAGAAAGACACACAAACTCCCATGTTAATTCAGATTTCAGATAGCTCTATAAGCCAAAACTCCTTTTTCACAAAGAAAAAGCAAATCTGCCTTATATCATTGATCCAAATGGATCATTAGCATCGAGTACTCTAGAGCACCATCCTTAAGATTCAGATAACCTAGCAATAACTTATTTTTCCTTCATCAAAGTTTGCACGCAACGTTATTAGAATCTTCGAATATAAGGGAAGTTATTTCCTACTAGGACTAGCAAGTATGTAACAAAATGGAATCGATACAAAGATTTAAAACATGGGAAAAGAAGAATAGACAGACTAACCAAGCGTGCTGGAAATGCCACAAGAAACGGACCGCTTGGCCAGAAACGGTTGCGTGGAAGATGCAAATATTGACCCCTTTGTTGCCGCCATGTTTCACACTTTCTTTCTCGGATTGAAGAGAGATGAGAATATAGTTGAAGTTCAATGCACTAGCGAGACATGTTTATAGATAAAAGAGGAAAGATGGGATATTTCTCAGTATATGTATGTGGGTAAGAATTTGCAGATAGAGGAGAAGTTTTGGCGCAAAACAATGAAAAATCTTATAATAGAGACAAAGGGAAAGAAAAGGGTTTATCTGAGAATCAAAAATATCTGGACCTTGTTTCTCCGACCTGATAACTCTTGGCTAAAACCCTTTGCGGCTTCACCGCCTTATCTCTTTTTCCATTATCTGATTTATTGATTTATTTCTGTTTTCACTTTTCACTTTCTTTCTCTTTTTGCCCACATTTTCACTTTGAAATTTCAATTTCAACCCGGAAGTCGACAAATTACAGGTCTCGCAAGTGGCTTAACCTTCATTTCACATTCCAACTTGCGTTTATCAATCCATCGCATCATTAAAAACCCAAAATCCATAAAGCTTCCATCAAACGACTTCAAGCCTCAAGGTTTCATTTCTCGCGAGAATCTCAAATACAGAGACGGGAAAAACACAGGCCATTTCTTTTTCCTTCATGGCTCTGATCACCTCACAACCCAAAAACGCCATCCTCCATAACTTCACCACCGTTCACCGCTCAATCCCCCGGCTACCTAATTCTGGGTCGTTCTCAAACAATGCCAGAACCTTTAAAGTCTCCAACTTCAATTCAAATTCGAATAAACTTTTCCTGAAATCAAACCCCTTCAGAACGGTGCCGGTTATAGCTGCCAATGCAGCATTGACGGAAGCATTGGAACCAGAAGAAGGGAATGTGAAGTACAGGAGAATTCTGCTATCAGACGTGGAGGTGAAGCGAGGGAGACGAGTTTTCTTTGGAAGGAAATGGAATTCCTTGGATTTGGGCACTGCCGGTGTTGTATTGACCATGCATGTGCTTAGTCTCTTTGCACCGTTTCATTTCAATTGGAGAGCTTTCTGGTTTGCCATGGCTCTGTATGTTGTGACGGGTCTCTTTGGCATCACGCTCTCCTTCCACAGACATCTTTCTCACCGGAGCTTCAAACTTCCCAAATGGCTTGAGTATCTCTTTGCTTATTGTGGAGTTCTCGCTCTTCAGGTAAATTCTGATTCTCAAAGCTTTCTTCTGAGTTCCTTCTATCATATTTTTTGATTTTAAAGAAGTATTTTCATTACCAAATGGTCCCAAGGTAGCTGACATAGGAAAATGAGAAGTTTGGCTATCAAATACTTATTATCTTTATGTCAAATTATTGCATTTCATAAATTTGAAAGATTTGAACATGTATAAGCCTCGTATTATCCCTTTTGTTAGACTATATTAGCCGTTTGGTCAAACATATATTGTTAGCAGATTATTTTAAAACAAAAACAATCTTGGGTGATTTTGATTTGATTGGTGTGCAGGGGAACCCAATTGATTGGGTGAGCACACACAGGTACCACCATCAATTTTGCGATTCAGAGAGAGATCCACACAGTCCCACTGAAGGATTCTGGTTCAGTCATATGAGCTGGTTGTTCGATACCAAATCTGTGGTTGAAAGGGTATGCATATTGTGATCCATGAATCCCTGGTCTCTGTGTACTATCAGTTTTTGACAGGCAGAATAATCATAGTTCATAACCTTGTTGCAAATGTTTTGGGATATTTTGATGTAGTGCGGAGAGCCAAACAACGTTGGAGATTTAGAGAAACAATACTTCTATAGATTCCTCCGAAGCACATACATTTTGCATCCTCTTGCCTTGGGAGTTCTGCTTTATGCCATGGGAGGATTTCCTTTCCTTGTTTGGGGAATGGTAAGGAAATTTCTTTCATTTTCTTTTTCATCTTCCTGGCTATCAATCAAAAGAGCCTCATTTTTTCCAATTATTGAATTGAAACTCAAGCATATATATCACTGTTACAGGGTGTGAGAATTGTTTGGGTATACCACATCACTTGGCTAGTAAACTCAGCTTGCCATGTTTGGGGAAAGCAAGCTTGGAATACCAAGGACTTGTCCAGAAATAATTGGTACTTACTTTTTTACCTTCATTGAAATTTTTCCCCTTCTGTTATTTTTGTGTGTCAGATTTTTCTTTTCAGCAACATGTGCTATTCGGTACTACCAGCTCATATTTAAGTACTATTTGGCTTACCTAAAATAATTTTTTCAGAGTGATCCTTTCATCTACTTGATTCTAAATTTCCCATCTTGTTCGAGAGAAATCAAGTTTAATCAAGCCAAAGTATTGAAAATTAGATTAGTCATTAAAATGGTTAAGATAGCAATTGAAGAGTTAATGTTTCAATCATGGTTGAAACAAGTTAACCTAATCATAATTAAAATAATATAATCTAATTAAAATATATAAAAATTTTCATATACAAGCGTTAATAGAGTAATCTTCAAATAAGAAGGGCATTAATCCACAGAGAAATGAAACATTCATGTATAAACCATATATGATCCAACAAAACAGAGTTTCTAAAGCTAAAAAAAATGAAAAAATTTACACAATCAATCCGTCCAAAACTCTTGACCAAACCGATCAGGGAACCAGTTCACTAGTCTGATTAGTCAACTCAAGTAGGGTTTTGATATCTAAAATAGTTATTTGGCATGGCTGAACAGGTGGGTGGCAGTGCTAGCATTTGGGGAGGGATGGCACAATAACCACCATGCATTTGAGTACTCTGCAAGACATGGGTTAGAATGGTGGCAACTGGACATGACTTGGTACGTTGTGAGGTTTCTGCAACTTCTTGGGCTGGCCACTGAAGTTAAGCTTCCTTCACAAACTCACAAACTAAGAATGGCATTCAATAACTGATTGATAAGCTCACTATGCGGTGTTGCTTTCATCCCATATCAATGACTTCACTGTTGTACGCTGTGTGTGGGACTAGCATGCCTGCACACTATCAGAGAGCTTCATAGCCTGCCTGATGCAAACGAAGATGATTTTTGTACACCACAATGAAATCAATATGCAATATCTAAGAATGTTTGGTGTGCCAGATTTTAAGTAGGAGCACGAGAGTTTTCTGTCCATAGTTTTATTCTCTTTTTTCTTTTTCTTTTTCCTTTTTCAATTATTATTGGTTTCTGGCTTCTTATCTTTTTATAATGGTCCACTTTACTCTGTTCCTCCTCAGTTCATTTTCAGCAACGTGATAAAACATAGTTAGGTGAAAGCCACGGCGTTCCCAAATTCAAATCGATCATTGTGTGACAGAGTTTAACACGTTTGTGTGTGTGTGTGTGTTTGAGAGAGAGAGAGAGAGAGAGACTAGTGGTTCTATCGTCATTCTCTATGAAGGACAAAACTGTTGGGGAAAAAAAATCAATGATAAAAATTGCCGAAACATCTAATACATTTATAATTGGTATAATCTTATTTTCAGCGATTGAACTTGGCTTGTAATGCAACTCAAAACCTGTTAGTTGGGGCACTTTAATTTGGAAATTCCATTTATACCCATTAAATACTCTGTGGAAGACCTTGCCTCCGATCATATAAGAGATCATATAAGACATTGGGTGCAATACAGGAAAAACCCACACGCATTAAAGAAATAGGAAAAAAAAATAGGGAAGTTGTGAATGTAAAGATGATGTTTAGAAATTAGAATAGAGCAGGAAATGAATGAAAATACTTGTGTGATTTGATAGATCATTGATGTTTGGTTGGTAGAATATAAATAATAAAAAATTGAAATAATTAAAATCACACTCACCTCAAGTAACTAAAAGATTGCTCGTTTGATAGGTAAGTAGTTGGTAGTTTTGTAAGTATAAAACTAAAATGATAAGGTCCTGTTTGTTTACTAAAAAAGTAAAATAAAATGAAATGAATTAAACAAAATAAATATAAAAATAAAATGATTAAGGAGAATGAATACATTTATAAGAGGGAGAGTAATTAATTCATAGGAAAAAATTATCATTTATAAAATTTTTGAAGAGTATGATAATCGTCATATTTATAATATATATTAATGAGTTTTATCATATTTATTATAAAAAATAATTTATTTTATTTTTATTTTTATTTTTAATCTATTTTATTTTTTTTTTAAAATCAAGCGGGACCTAAATATCCAACCTTCAATTACTTATCCATGCTACTCATGTGAAAGTTCAGTCTAGTAATTTTTGTTTTCTAAGATCTACATATATATATATACACACACATATGATCTACAGAAACCAATTATTTCCTTTACAGTTACTATGGAATTTATTTATTTTTTTTTAAAATGGTAATACTCCGTATAGACTGATCGTAAATAGTAATAAAATATAACTCACATGTCCTATACAGTGTAGTTAAAAAAAAAAAAAAAGAGTTGTACTTTTTATAACTGAGTAATCATTTTAAAAATAAGATTTGCATGTATGTATTGATTTAACATGTTGACCCTGCTTGTACAAAGCATGCTTGGAATGTTTAAGGTGATTATTATTATAATCAAAATCGTTGAAAAATATTAATTATGATATAATATCATACTATCTATTATAAAACAGAAAAAAAAAATATCATAGCAATTACAAAATCATAAACTTTCAATGACACTCACAAAACTGCTTTCATATGGCTTCAAGCTGATTTTCTTTTCTCTCTCCCCCATCACAAAAGAAGAAGAAATCATGCCTCCACCGTCCATTTTGGGCTGAAAGTTGCATACCGTCCACTTTAATTATAGCGTATTTGATGATGATAATGATATAAGCTCAAGTGACATTTTAATTCTTTTATTTTTATACTGTTTTATTTCAATCACTAAATTTTATAAAAAAATTTTTAGTTTTTAACCTTAATATGGTTGGTTCATTAACAAGAATTTTTTACATTGAATGAACTTTTAAATATTAGCATAATATTTTCAAATGTTGATATATTAAATTTATTTTTTTAAAAAATAATAATGATTGAAATGAAAAATAATTATTTAAAATTAATATTATTAAAATTAAAAAAATTAAATAGATACTCCCTCCGTTCAAAAAATATAAAGCATTTTTTGAGGAGTTGAATGTTAAAAAATATAAAATATTTTTAGTTTTTTAAGTTATAATTATTATCTTTTTTAAGTGCCCCTATTGATAATGACTTTATATTTATTATAAAGTATTTAATATAAATAAATATAAAAAGATAGGATTAGTTTTAAAGTAAGTAATTACTTTATTAGAGGTGAAATTCAGTTAAAAATATCTTATATTTTTTAATGAAAAGAATATTTATACAATAAACTGATAAAACTGAAAGCTTAAATGGTTCAATATTAATATATTATTATTCTCCTCCCGCTCTTCCTCCTTCACCTCATCTAGTCATATTGAATATTGATTGGTCATTGTCAAACATGAGAATACAGATGTTGAAGGTCAATCTAAACATGAATCATGTTTTTGGTTCGTTTTAAATATTAAATATTTGAATGGAATTGATGGTTGGGTTAGACTTAATACTAATAATTTCGTTAGCATAAATAGGGTCAGTGTTTGTGGTAGCGTCATTTATAATAAAAAAATTGAATAAAAGGTTTCTTTAAATATTTTAGCCATTACCCCAACACTATTGCTGAACTTTTAGGCATCTTGAAAAACCTAAACATGTGCTAGATTGGCAAGTTTTTAAAGTCAATGTTTATATTGACTCTTTAGAAGCTCTTTCTCTCATTAATTGTGATTACAATGACAATTACTCTCTTTTAAAAACAATTAAGAAGATTAAAGATTTTATAATAAGATATTGGACGATCACATTCGACCATATCTATAAAAAAGCTAACAACTATGTAGATTGACTCATCCAGCATGTTCTTAAAAATAGTCTGAATATCAAAATTTTAAACAATTTATTTTTAGAATACAATAATTTTTTAAATGTTGATATAATTTAATTGTCATCTTTTGCACGACTTCTGTCATGGCCTTTTAAATTATATATATATATATATATATTTTTATATAGATTAAATATTTTCACACGCAAATCTCACTGTAATTTATTTTTTCCCCGGGGGTGTGGGGGAAGCTTCCTTACCTACACTGCTTTTGTCAGATTTTCGCTTTCTCTTTCACACAACGCATGTGCCTCGAGAGGAACCGTGCTTCTGGTTTATGAATGGGCTTTTACTTTTCGGTCTCCATGATGACTACATGAATTCAGTGCTTTACGCCCAATTCAGGCCCATGAATTACCAATCAAGTTGAAGCACTTCGGCAAAGAAGAGAATTTTGTTAAAATATTTCAGGCCAAAAAAAAAATTATGTTAGAACATTTAAGTTTTATTATATTTTATTTAAAATAATTTGATAAATATTTTAAATAAATTATAATATCAAAATATTTTATATTTTTATTTTAATTTAAAATATGTTAATATTTGGTCCAGCAAACTAGTAATAAAGTTTGGGTCTTTGAGATAGTAATAAAGTTAATTGAAGGCTTAATATTTTAAAATATGTATATCTTTTCAATGATATTCTAATTATACATATAATTACCTCAATAATGACATTTGATATTCTAATAGAATTTTTTTTCCAAAAGAGATAATAAATAAAGTAAGGATATAGTTTAAAAAAAATTAGAACTACCGAATGTCCTATATTATGAAATGAATGAAGTATATATTTAATATATTAACAAAATACTCCTTCGGTCTCAAATTATAAGATATTTTTAGAAAAAAATTTAACATTTTAAATATAAAATCCTTTAATAAAAATAAGGTTTCATTAATTACACTTTTCTAGTATTACCCTTCCTATATATTCTCTCTCTTCAATATTATTTCAGCAATTAAGTATTAAATGAAGGTTATTTTAAAAATTTATATTTTTATTTTGAAAAGGAAAGGTTATAAAATGTATTTAATGAGTTTTATTGATATGTGAGGTTTTTTTTAAAGTGTCTTATAATTTAAAATGGAAAGAATAAGATATTATATAGGGGGCATCCAAAGGTCAAATATGGACATTTATTGAGAAAAGGGACCAAAAATTCTGAATTCATTATATTGGATGAGTGTAATTAAAATTTTATTGCAAAAAAAATACCCATGATATATTTTTTTAAAAAAAAAAAACCTCCCTCCACTATACATTGTTTTGAATTCATTATATTGGACGAGTGTAATTAAAATTTTATTGCAAAAAAAATACCCATGATATATTTTTTTAAAAAAAAACCTCCCTCCACTATACATTGATCACCAGACCACCGTCGGCAGTCACTCAAACTTTAGCACTAGTGACATAAATTTTTGAGCTGTTCAGAGAGGGTTTGGACCCATAACCCCTTGGTCATCAAAAGACCAATGCATCTTAATCTTATAGTGCACAAATTTGTGTGTGTGTCGTTAACTTAGTCTTCAATATTCAAATCACTAGAGCTTAACTGATCAATTTGTCATTTCATGGATGTTTACTTGTTAAATTATTAAAAGAACTTGTTAACAAAATTTAATATGCAAGATGTGTGTCACTATAACCAAGAGTCTACTTGTAAAAAATTTATGTGAACTTTTTATTTTAGTAAAATTACTTACTCGTTAATTTAGTAAAGGAAATTTTGGAAGAAGAATTATTTTTATGTAATGAATTGTAATTGTCAAATTAGAGGCATAATTGAACTTGTTATTTCATTGACGTAGAATTGTCATTTTACTGGTTTGCATGTCAAACACTATTAACAAGTTTTTCTTAGAAATTTTACAACTTAATTTTACAAAAATGACAAGTTGACACATCATTTTGACAAGTACCTTTCTGGTTATAATTGTCACGTTTTACGTAGTGAATCTTATGACCAAGTTCCTCTTGATAAATAATTGACAAGTAAATGTTGCTAAAATTAAATAACGACAGGTTGACATATCATTTAAATTGGATAGAGAAAGAAATAAAAATGAATAACTTTTTGAACGCATCTAAATTGGCAAGTATATTTCTGAATATTTTCAAGAAGGGAAATGGAGAACATTCTAACTTGCTGCCTAACCTAGTGATCCCATTTGTTGAATTTTATTTCCCAACAATAATACGCACATTGATTATTCTTGAAGTCACGGCCACTCTTCACCAATTAGCTATATATAGTACTTACTGCTATTTGTTTAATGAAAATGCAGAAAAAGAATGAGTCTCGAAGTGGAACACAAAATTCAGAAAAGAAAAGGGGTAAATTTGAATAGACAGACATATAGTAACATAAACATTTTAGGAAACAAAAGAACAAAACCAACCTTGAGCATCGAGAGCACCAAAGTTTCATTATTACTCTTCAACCTTTTACAGAAAAAATTACCATGCTCTAGTCACCTCGAGGTCCCAAAAGCTTTTGGAATTTCGAAGCCATAGGATAATGTAAAACAAACCCAAAACAACTGCTTATTAACCATACAAAGCCACCCACAAAAGGTATTACTTGTTTGTAAGAATAATAAAATACTTAGTAGAATAGTAGCCACGGTTAATAAGCATGGGAGAATATTTAAAAAGCACAATCATATGGAACCTAGCTCTCAACTCCATGCACAAGCACCTCTGGTTTATTGTTTTTAGTTTCAAATTAACATTGGTAATCAAACTATAGCTATCTAGCTAGGTTGTTCTAAAATAATAATAATATTATTCCCCAGGTTATTATAATATACTTGATTATGTTAATGATGGGTGAAAAGGCAAAAATTAATTAATTACGCTTGGGAAATTTGTGAAATATTAGTATGTGGGGTGAGCATGAGTTCAGTTCCCATTCGAGGGACTGCCAAAAGTTGCGTGTATTATTTTTCTGACACTCCATAATAATGAATAAATAATAACAAGACGGTAATTATTATGTTAAGCAGAGAAATTGCATGCTTACGTCATTACAAAGCATGCCTTTCAAGCAACGATTTCGAGGTGTCTATAAAATTTAAAACAAATTAATTAGTGCTCCTATTGTATACTACTATTATTAATAACATGCCCATTATTATACATTCAGTCGTGTTAAATTAAACTGTAGATTAACCCATAACTGCTTTTTGCACTAGTACGGCTAAAGTGTATTTTTAACTCATCTCCATGTGTCTCTCACGCCGATGAATGGGAATTAGGAAGACAATGTTAAAGTGAAAATTTTAATTTGAAAGCTCGCTTGCTAAACAACCATGTGAATTTCTTAGACTTTTTGTGGTATATGTTTATTAACCATCTGAGAATTATTATTTTTCTTAATTTCCTTCTAACAAATGTAAAAACCAAATTTAAACATGAGAAAGGCAAAATTAATGAATTATATAACTTAATGTTACTAGCTACAAATTATAGCATTAAAATAGAAGCCTACTAGATCCAATGTTTATATCATAAAAACGAAGTCCCTGCTCAAACTCCAATTTAAATGCGAGTTTTAAACGAGCAAGTTCCTAATGAAACAAGCTTCTGATACTAGTTGTCAAAGCATGTTTCAAATGGCGGGATACACAATTTCCAAATTAATATTAGGGTCGAATTACAATTTACAACCTTAATTTCTTAAAAAAAAGTTACAACTTTTCAATTTTACCTTCATTAAATATTTTATATAGGTTCTTTGATAATGATAGTTAAAATTTTAATGCATCATTTTGTTGAAAAGAGTAATAAATGTAATAAGGATATAGTTTGAAAAATAATTAAAAATGTTACCTAATGTCCTATATTTTGAATTAAGTAAAGCTTTTAGAAAATGTCCTGCATTATAGTCCGAATAGAGAAAATGGGTTCAACATCATAATTTAATTTAAAATCCTAAAGCTTTAGTTCAAAAGTCTTTCCACTTTTATTATAAATCTTATCAATTTCCATTATATTTTACATATTAGAAAATTTTATTAATTACAAAACTAAATAGATCATTTGTGAAAAATCATATTACTCCTGTTTCACATTATAAGATACTTTTCAAAAAGATTTAATATCCCAAAATATACGACACTTTAAGAAAAGTAAGGTTTCATAAATGATACTCTCTCCCCAAATCATAAAACACTTTTGAGAAAGATTTGTCGTCTCAAAATATAAAACACTTTGAAAATATTAAAGTTTCATTAAATATGCTTATTTCAATATTACCCTTTCTCTCTTTATATTTAATACTAATTAAGTACAGATTTAAGGTTATCAAGTGAAGGATATTTTTAAAAGTTTATATTTTTATTTTGAAAAAAATAAGGTGGTTGAGTGTATTTAATGAGGTTTATTGGTATGTAAAATTTTTTATAAAAATATCTTATAATTTGATACAGTTGAAGTACTTTTTTTAATATTATCTTTTTCATATGTTCTTGATCTCTGTAATATTTTTTCACAAATGGAGTACTCCTTCCATTCCAAACTAAATCACACATTCAAATAAAACTTACTATCTTCATCTCCACATATAAGATATTTTTAATCGAATCATTCAAACTAATAAAAGTTAGTTATCTAATTAAAAGCACAACAATATTTTAATTTTGCCCATACTTATTGTAAATAAAAAATGAATACCTTTTCTTAAAGTAAATTAATGAGAGTACTTATATTTTATTTTTAATTTAATAAGGGTATAATGACTCATTTATTAAAAAAAATACTAACAACATTTTATATTTAGGGACCAAAAAAATTCTAGAAAATCTCTTATATATAAGGAAGAGAGAGTATTATTTACAATATTATTTTTTCAAGAAAAAGATACAAAAATCCTAAAATGCCCTTTATTAATTAATATTCCATTTGTGAAATAATATTATTGAAAAAAAATTATCAATAAGATCTTATTTTTGTCAAAGTATCTTAAATTTTAGGCTGTTAAATCTCCTCCAAAAGTGTTTTATAATTTAGGATGTATGTAATATTAATAAAGGATATTTTTGAAAGTTTATATTTTTATTTTAAAAAAAATAAGGTTATAAAGTGTGTTCAATGAATTTTATTTATCCGTGTGATTTTGTCTAAAAATATTTTATAATTTGAGATGTAGAAAGTATTAATTATACCTTGACATATGCAAAATGTCTAATCTGTTTTAACATTATATTTTTAAAAAATAATTTATAATAATGAATCATGTCTATTAAGACTTCTTTTGATAGGTCGTTACTCCTCTGATCCTATTTATAAGATAGAAAGAGAAGAAAAAATTCAATTCTATTTATAAGATATTTGTGAATTTTTAATTTTTAATATTTCTCTTTACTTTTTTATTTTTATTAAATACTTTAAATAAAACTATTAACAATAAGATTTAAGAATATTTATTAAAAATAAAGGTTGAAACTAATATTTATTAGGAATAAAGGTTGAAACTATTTAAATGTTAAGACAAAGTTAATGAGATTTATATTTTTTTTACTTTGATAAAATATATTAGTAGTAATTTATAAATAAGCTCAGAGGAAGTATAATATGATTTAATTTTTAATGTTAAATTAATTTTTAATATTAAAAGAGAATTGAACCACAAATATATGAGGAGGCAAGCACGTGTACAACAGATTTGCGTTATAGTAATTAATAATATATGGGAGCAGTAGCGGGACCAATAATTTAGTGGTTCATTATGCTTGGGCGGGAGAGAAGGAAGCTGTGAGGGCGTAAGGATGGTGGTGGAGTCGAAGCTGCAACAGGTAGCCCATGATTTCACCTTTTGGAAAAGGTCGGCCGATTTCAGAGGGTCGTCTTCCCCGATACACTCCCACCAGTCGCAGTGAAAGACAAAAAAAGCATCAAAAGCAAACACTTTTCACCACCTGTCACTCCCACCCTTGTTTATCGGGCGCCTCTATATTCCCTCCCTCCCTCTTCCCACACTCCAATGCCAACACCAACGAGAAGAAGAAGAAGAAGAAGCTTTCTGCAATAAATTAATGGAAGGCCCGAAGCACGCGAGGTGACCGGGCACAGGAACAGCAGGTGACCAAGCCCAGAGCTATGGCCTGAAACCTCCAACACAACACTGAGACTCAGGTGGTAGGGATGGTCCGGTAGATACCCCGCATTCGCCTCGATTTCTCACCTCTCCCCTGGCACGCCTTTCCACTTACTCTCTCATTCTTATTATTCACTTTTCTCCTCCTGCAGTACTTGTCACCTTGGTAATTGTTTTCCCCTCATAAATCCTCATTCATTCCTCAATCTTCCCAAATCATCTCCATTTCTGTACACACACACTCTCTCTCTCTCTCTCTCTCTCTCTGTTTAAATACCCCAAGAGAACGACAACACTCTCCGCGTCTGTGTCTGCGTGGTTCTTCTTCGCATTATCTATATCACATTATCACATTGGGTTCGGTCTCTCAAGGCTTGATCCATTTGGCTAGCTGTGTTGGTTTAATTTGTGAGGTTAGTGAAGAGCAAGTCAAAACGGGTCTCCCACTGTGGATGCTTGGGCTCGGAGCGGACCGTCTGTGGGCCGACATGAACCGCCTCCTTGCCTTCCTCTTCCACCAGGTCAGTCACCGACACAGACACGCTTGATTTCTTTCTTCCTTAAGCAACAACGTACCTAAAGCTGTCTTGAGTGAAAGATGTACGTCACGTTTAGCTAAGTTATTAACGGTGTTAGCGTACGGTGCAGGGAGTTCTGGATGAGCAATTCCTGCAGCTTCAGCAGCTTCAGGATGAGTCGTCTCCCAACTTCGTGTCCGAGGTTGTCAACATCTACTTCCACGAGTCCGAGAAGCTTCTCCGAAACCTCAGATCACTGCTGTATGTACACACACACTCTTCCATAATTACCACCTTAATCTTCTCGACTCTTCCCCTGCATTATGCATATCTTTATAAATGTGTGTGTTTTGCGACAGAATGGATAGGGAGTTGTCGGACTACAAGAAAATGGGAATCCATGTGAACCAGTTGATGGGAAGCAGCTCGAGTATTGGAGCCAACAGAGTTCGAAACGTCTGCGTCGCGTTTCGCGCTGCCACTGACCAGAACAACCGTGCCGGGCACGTGCCTTCTCCTTCCTCTTTTTCCACTTTCTTCGTCTCCGATTTAATTATCTATATAAAAGTTCAGCGTCTTTCTTACCTTGCAGTACTGTATACATGTTTGGTTTCAGATGCTTGCGAGCTTTGGAGATGCTGGAGCACGAGTATTGCTATCTCAAGAACAAATTACACGAACTTTTCCAAGTACTTTATTGATCTGACTCTGTATATTATGCCTCAAAGAACTCGTAGCTTATTATACTATCAAATAAATCAGTTATCAATGCGTAATAATATTGCAGATAGAGCAAGAACGTGCTTTGGCAGCAGGAGTGAGGTACCCGGTGCAGAATTGAAGAGTGAAAGACAAAGGAAAAAGCGATGAAAAACATGAGATGTTATTAACTTATCATCTCAGGGAGATATGGTTTTTGTTGGTGTAGTTATTAATATTATAGTATTTGTACTTTGTTTGTGTTGAGGTCAGTTCAGGTGGTGCCTCGTCTCTGGGGTTTAGTTTTTGGATTCTAGTGTATACGTGCGTAGTGGCATAATAATAATAACATAATCACATTTGAACTCTTGGATTTGATGGTTACCAATACCAGACCAGTAAATCGTAGCCCTAAGTGCTACGCGTTACTGTCAGTGTCTATCCTGGTTGGACAGATCTCGAATGCCAAAGTTACTTTCAAATTTTAAACTTGCATCATTCTTATCAGCTACAAGCCTACAAGAAAACTAGGGTTTTCTCGTTTTCAGCACAGTAATGACGACGACGCATGAAATAACATCACATCACTATATTTGTAAGTTGTTCAACTATTTTCAACTCCCTCCGGTCCCATTTATAAGTCCAATTTTAGAAGTATTTTCTAAGTCATCAGGTATTTCCAAAATTACATGAGAGAGAAAAGCCTTACTAGGGTTTTTCGTTTTCAGCACAGTAATGACGACGACGCATGAAATACACATCACTATATTGATAGTTGTCAACTATTTTCATTTTATATATTACAGTTAATGAGGAAAAGGGATTTGAACGTTGACAGTCAAATCGATGAAAAGCCAAATCGAGAGTAGCACCCGTACATGTTTTTGGTCCTGAGATCAATTCTGAAACGAGACTGAACCGGCGTGTAGTCTAACTCATATACAGTAGCATTCCGTAACCATGGAACTTGTAACTATCGTACAATTCTCATTCCATGCACTGCCCTCCACAGTCCACTGGGTGGAGTATAATATATTATTAGTTAATGATAAATTAAATGATGAAGGACATTCAATTCTATTAAAAATTTAAATGTTTAGTTATTTGAAATAGATATATACTGCATTTTACATCTAGATGTTCTTAATATGATGATTCATTTTAATTTCGCTGCTATCTATATAATTAATTCATAAATGGTGAAAAAGTAACATTTTTTGTAAGGATCTTGCATTTGCGAAAGTTGTTAAGCATAAGCTTAAATAAAGATTTGACCCAAAAAAAAGGTTAATTCACACTAGTCACAGGATTTCATTAATGTCTCAAAATTCAGGCTTGACCCGAAATAGATAGAACATTTAGTTAAAAGACGGTCGACAATGATGTATTTAAACAAATTTTCAGCATCTATATGAATCATTGGATTAAAGCATATGACATGATGACAGGAAAATACGTTATTTGGTATTTTCTCTCTATATCTTGCATTAATATCTCTTGCAACTGTTTGATATTTATAGTGTCACATGGAACATTCATTAAGTAAGAGGATTTTGGAGACACTACCAAATTCGAATTCATTATGCGCAAACTTCCTTTTATTCCTATTATCAGGTATATCCTTTAGTCATATTTATAAATTAAATTTTAAAAGATTCATTTGATTCTATTTATAAGTCATGATGTGACTTTTTAGATAATAGTTGAAAGGTATTTTCAAGAGAGAAAAAATATAACATGATATTACTTTTTTAATTTATTATATAAGGGCATATTATGAAATTTTACATACTTTTGTTCTTTATATTTTTTTGGTATTGGTATTAATGAGATGGTGAAAATGACTTGTAAAGAAGATCAGAGGAGTACATCTAAAGCTCTAATCAAGCCATAAAATCAAAAAGACATGGTTAAGTAATTAACCTTGTCTTAAAAAATAATGAACTTTCAATTTTACCTACATTTAAATAAAAAAATTATATTTATATTACTAGTTAATGAGTTTAAATATAAATACTATTAAAAAAATGTAATTAACCCATCACCCAGTGCCTTTTTTCAATGATCATCAATGTCTTCTGTATACTTTACATTCCTTTTATTTACTCATATCATCTGTGTTTACCAAAAACTGACAACACAATAAAACATGGCTTGGTATAGATTCACAAATTATTTGAGGGAGGAATGGGTCAATTAGACCCATTTGGGTTGGCCCATCATGTAAGGGTATAATTAGTCCAAACTAAGTTTTCCACTTTTTGTTATTAATTACTGCAAAAACCGTTGAGGTGCCCTTTCAAACAAACATGCTACAAGTTTGTTGACCCCATCAATCACAGCCCATATCCTCGACTCAACTTTGAGCAATAAAATTTAGTACATGTTTGTCATTACTTTCTATCCAAAATATAAATATTTTTTTTAATTAATCTTGGTACAATATATAAGCAATTTAGTTTTTTTATTTTTTTTATTTTACCTCTTATATTTATTAACCTATATTCTTGTGTTTGTGAAATTATAACTTTCTTCTTACTCAACATAAATTAGAACTAAGGGTATATATATATATATATATATATATTCATGAAAATAATGATTTTATTGATAAGCAAAATATTTTTAAAAGATACTTATATTTTGGACTGGAGAGAGTATATGAAAAAATGCTTCTTATAAAGAAAAATGCTTGTATGTGGATAAAAAAATAACATAAGGTAGGTATATTTCTCATTTTATTTTTTTAAAAAATATTTTTTCACACATCAAATATGCACTTACTTTTCAAATTTCTCATAATGCATGGAAAAACTTGTTTAATTAATAAATATGACATTTAAAGTGAACTATACTATTTATAAGTTATTGTAATTGTGTAATACATATGAAGCTAGCATTGAAGCAAAGACCAATATTACAGGATGCGCTTTTAATAGTGAATAAAAAATACTTTTAACAGTGGTTCTATGTTCGCAATTGTTTTAAGGGATGTTAAATGTATGTGACTTTTAACAGCAGTTATACAATCGTCGTTAAAAATAAACTTTCAACAGCGAATCTATGTTCCGCTATTGAAAGTTGCTCATTGATTTTTTTTAAAGAAGACTTTTAACAATGTTCTAGCCATAACAATGATTATGGCATTAACCGGTGTTAAAAATAGACTTTTAACATGGTTTGGCCAGAACCACTGTTAAAAGTCTACTTTTAACAACGGTTAATGCCATAACGTTGTTAAAAGTCCACTTTTTTTAAAAAAATTATTTTGTTTTTAGTTATTTCCCTAATCTTTGCAAATAAAAATATTTTATACAATTTATTGCTAGCCAGCCAATTCAAGTACATATAAATAATCTAAATTTCAATACAATTCTATAGAAATGACACAAAATTCAAATTTTTTTATACAATTTTTAAAAAATTACCTAAACCTTGCATACCATTCGCAAGATATTGTGCCCAACGTGTGAGGATGTTGTCAACCTCTCCCTTAGAAAATGGATCCGCAATGTCAAACATCTATCTAATGTATAAAATTGCAATTGAAACACTAACCAATTAATCCAAGTAATAATAAAATTAGCTTTTAAAAAATATAGTTACCTTATTTGTAAATTCAGTCATTCCTAATGTGATGATATTGAGTATGCGCCTCATCACATATACACTGCACAAACTACTCTTCAGTAGTTGCCTATGACTGTATATAAAAACACATATATATATATATATATAAAACAATTGGGAATCGAAGATAAATATTGACAATTGAATATATTAATAAAGTGTTAGTTTTAACTTACCTTTAGCTCAATCCACATAGCATCCTTTAGTTTATGTGGATGCTTTTTCAGGACCATCATTTGATATGTTTTCATTGCCCTATGATCAATATCACAAGATTTGTAACTAATATATCTATAAAAATTAATAGTTTTTATACAAGTATACTTACGAGTTTATCGTCTTCTTTATATCCTTGTTTGGTTTGTAATGGAGGGAGTATAAGTTATTCTTCAATGAAAGAACAATCAGTTGGTAGTGGTCCCTACAAAATATATTGAGATATTAGAAGAAATCCATATTTAACGAAAAACTATCAATCACAAATTGATCCTTATGAATGCACATATAGAACCATGAAAACATCCTTTTTAACTTTACATATTCGTTGCTAGAGGCACTAGGATCTTATTTTAGGAGTATTCCATTTCTTCGTCATGTGATGAAGGCAAAGAAATCTGAAATGATTACCTTTGTCCGATGTAACGATGGAGGTACCTGTAATAATGCAATTGTATTAGTTGATCGATCTTGATAAGTTAATTATATTTAAGTAAAACATACTTACAGTATAAAAAACTCAATTAATGCTGTAGTAAGCTGACTTTTCAAGAGAAGTCAATTCAAATCTTCTCGTTCAATAATCACTAGACTCTCCATACCCATAACACCCTTTTCCTTTGCAAATTTTTTTTCTTGGAATGATTTATTGTAAGTAATAAAATTATTTATTGGAAAAGAGTCAACTTGCGGTGGCTACAATTGCTGGGGTTATGGAAGTTTCAACAGGGAATTATTTGGTAAGGGAAGCTGAAAAGGCAAGAGATAGTTAATTAAAAAAGTATAAAAAAGAAATATTTAATAAGATGTATGAAATATTTAATAAAACGTACCTCAACTTGAACCACACTCACAAGTCTCTTAGGCTACATGATAAAAGTACCAACAACTTCGGATACAATCTTGACCTTATTAGTAGGGAATGGGATGAGTGCATCTGTTACTTTTACATCTTCTACCACTACTCTAACTTGATCTTGTTACATTTGCTTATGGCAGAGGGTTTGTCCTAAAGTGTGAACACTGCCAAGAGCAACCAAGTGTTTATCAGGATCTTTTACATATAGCTCACACGTTTCATTCGTATTTCTCATTGAAAGACCCTCTAATATGTGTCCAAGAACATTACTCTCTTTTGTGTTGTGAAATATATGAGACTGTGTATGAGGTGCTTCAGCAGTCATCTCTTATTGTGAGGACATAAAGGTCATCATATCTTCTTTCATTTTTGCAAGTCGAGCTTCCAAGCGAGCTTTAAATGAAGCTTCAGCCTTCATTGTTTATTATCTTACACTTGTTATTACATTTTTCAACTCCTCTCTTGTAACAACACTTGATCTGTTAGGACGTGCATGTGCTCTAAAGTAATCTCTAATTCTCTCGCCAAATCCAACACCTCTAACTCGTCTCGAATGCTCTGGCTTGCCGATAGCAACTACCAAAATGTCATTTCTATCCTCTGGAATGAAGGATCCTTGAGATTGTTGTTCCTTAAGAGCCTCCTATAACAAATAAAACA